TATCCCCCTCGCCCCCCCCCCACACCATGGCATTAGTACGCCTCTCTCTCTCTCTCTCTCTCTCTCCTCCTTCGCTATCTCTTTCGTATGAGAACGTCCCCCCTTATTTGCTTTCTTCCTGCAGTGTTCGTCTCGCAAACATTCCCGTGTTGTTGTTGCCTGCTTTAGTCCCCCCGTGTTATTCCTACCCACACCCCCAACCCTCCCCTCAATTGAATACCGCCTCCCTAACACCCCCTCCCCCGACCCCTGAATTTACGGGGAGCGTCTGGGTCAAAAACTTTTTTATTTACGAACGGATCATCTTGAAACTTGGCTTACATATGTAAAAGAGAAATTTTCAATTTTTTTGTTCATGTAAATTTTTCGAACAAATGAAAAAAAAACGTGAAATTCATAGGGAACGTCAAAAAGGGAGGTACTGTAAAAATCTGAGAGACATATCATTCGATTTGTAAAGACCATATCTAGCAATCGACCGCTCATTTTTTCAATTTTTAATTTTTTTAATTTTTTTAGGTCTTTTTCTGATTTTTTAATTTTGCCCCCGCCCCTGTTTTTTCAATATATTATCCAAACTAAAACGAAATGAAAAAATTGATCAGTGGATCGCTAGATATTTTTTTTACAAAGCGAATGGTATATCTCTCAATGTTGTATAGCTTGAGAATCATAGGAGGAGATAGATTTTTATAGTGACGTATTTTGGAAATTTTAATTTTTCAGGGGAACCAAATGAATAAAATTAATTGAAAAAAGAAGAATATGACAGAAAAATTGCTTGATATTGTAGCCCAAGCTTTCCCCTTGCCAATTAATTGTATTTAGAGTACCAGTACGCGTCTTTAGACTTATTCTTGTCAGCTTAACGTGAATAATAAGCTATAAATGTGACTTTTTCTATGTTCATATAAAAAAATTTCATTTCATATCAGTTCAAAACGGCATAACGCAAAAAACATTGCATGTACATCCATGGTATTTGCTTTTTTGAACGCGCATTGCTTGTTGCTTTCAAACGAGTGCAAACCATTTTCAAGTAACGCGAATAGTGATCTATAAATACCGTTTTTAATTTAAAATTTGTAAATTTTATTTTAAAATGGTTAATTTATAAAAGTTGAAACTGACTTACGCAAAAATTATTGCATGAACATTCATGGCAGTAGCTTTGTTGCACGCGTATTGTTTGTAGCTTTCAAACGAGTGCAAACACTTTGCAATTAACGCGAATAATGATCAATAAATGCAGATTTAATGTCAAGAAATCTTTGTACATATTGTTAAAAAATCTTCGTATTAAAAAGTTTTGAAAGTGCTTTACCAAAAAAACTAGAGCACGCACATACATGCGGTACGTGAACTGCGTTATATGTGCCTTTTCAGCAACTACAAAATGAGCCAAGAAAACGGAAAAGCCAAAATTCTCGATTTTTTTTTACGCAGACGCGCCCCATATCAAGGCAGGGCACCTCTCTCCCCTCCGTGGCTCAGCTGCTTACATAGTGCGTGCATCAAATGCGTCTTCATTGTGCATCAAATGCGTCTGTATTGTGCATCTAATGAGTCTTTATTGTGCATCAAATGCATAGCTATTGTCATCAAATGCGTCTTTTTGTGTATCATATGCGTCTTTATTGTGCATCAAATGCGTCTTTATTGTGCATCAAATGCATTTTTATTACCCATCAAATGCTTCTTTTTGTGCATCAAAGTCGTCTTTATTGTGCATCTAATGCGTCTTTATTGTGCATCAAATGCATTTTTATTGCCCATCAAATGCGTCTTTATTGTGCATCAAATGCGTCTTTGTTGTGCATCTAATGCGTCTTTTTTGTGCATCAAATGCGTCTTTATTGTGCATCAAATGCGTCTTTATTGTTTATCAAATGCAGATTTTTTGTGCATCAAATGCGTCTTTATCGTGCATCAAATGCGTCTTTTTGTGCATCAAATGCGTCTTTATTGTGCATTGTGCATCAAATGCGTCCTTTTGTGCATTAAATGCGTCTTTTTTGTGCATTAAATGCGTCTTTATTGTTTATCAAATGCAGATTTTTTGTGCATCAAATGCGTCTTTTTTGTGCATTAAATGCGTCTTTATTGTGCATTGTGCATCAAATGCGTCTTTATTGTGCATTGTGCATCAAATGCGTCCTTTTGTGCATTAAATGCGTCTTTTTTGTGCATCAAATGCGTCTTTATTGTGCATCAAATGCGTCTTTATTGTGCATCAATGCGTCTTTTTGTGCATTAAATGCGTCTTTATTGTGCATCAAATGCGTCTTTATCGTGCATCAAATGCGTCTTTATCGTACATCAAATGCGTCATCAAATATCGCGTAATGGGCCGTCACATTCCTGGTCTCAACGGCGTCGCCGGCGCTGAGGCGGCGGAGGACGAGCCTCCATTTTGAACCCGGCATTGCGAACCGGTTGGCGGGTTTGGCGGGTGATGGACATAGTTCGGTTATGCCTATACTTCAGCTTGGTTCTCGTGAGGCCATACTGAACTATGCATAACTAGTCCTAATAGTGGGGCCATACTGAACTATGCAAAACTATTCCTAATGGGGCCTACCGTAACAGGGCTTAATGAGGCCCTGTTTATGTAAATGCAGTGAGGCGCCATGTCAGCAGGCCCTGTTATTCCTAAATATAATTCGAACGTCCACATGTAAATAAAAACTAAGTATAACAGTTAAATTCTTCACTATAATATATGATACAAAATCCCATTTCAATACATTTCCAAATCGTGCAATACTCTCCGATCACTGACATTATTCGGAAATATGGCACGAGAAAAGTATTATTGAGTCTCGTACATCTGTGTTTTTCCAATCTCAATTTTATGTGCAGTTCATTCAGCACCTCCTTATACAGTTATGTATACTCCCTTAACCTCGCCATATTCCATCACCGCTGCACTACCGGACTGGACGTTGCCGTATAACATTTAAAGTCAGTTTGGCTTATTGTGTCGAGCTCGGAAATTGAGTGGCGGTAAATGCAACTATTACGGTATAATTCGTACCCAAAGCTCGGTTGTACCAAGTGGGACAATTACGGCGTGTGGTTCATGTGACCAGGAGAATGAAACACCGCTAGAAGTAATACAATGATATACTGAATCAATTGGAGCCCAACCTACACAATGAATGACAATAGTGTAAATAAATCTCAGAAGTGATGCTACTTCACATTACAAACTAGGTCGTTGCTAATATTAGGAACATATTGATTATATACATTTTAAAATATTTAAATTACGGTCGGTAATTGGTTATGACGGTGAATGGAATGGCATAACGAACGAATACGAATTCGTTATAACGAATACGAGTTGGCGGGTAACTAAGCTAAATTGTAATTGAGTGGTAAATTTCAGTGTTGTAAAAATGTTCTACGGAGGGGAGGTTACATACATTGTCGCTAAATGGTGCTTGAAAAGTGGTGATGAGATAATTGAAGAGCTTTGATGAAGTGATCAAAAGTTTTGATGGGTTTGATGGGTTGACTAAAGATTGATGATGTGGTTTTAAAAGAGCGGTGAAAAGGTATTCAAAGAGGATTGATAGAGTACTTAAATAATGTTGATAGGGTGCTTATATGAAGAAGTAAATAATTATGTAAAAGGTTTTATCCGGTATTTAAGGAGTAATGATCATGTTTGAAGAGAGGTGATCTAGTATTTAAATATTGGGGACCTAGTATTTAAAGAATTGTGATCTGGCATTTAAAAGGTGATGATCTGCTATTTACAGAGTGGTCATCTAGTATTTAAAAGGTAGGGAGATCTACTATTTAGAGTGGTTACGTGGTATTTAAAAAGTGGTTGCCTGGGATTTAAAGAGTGGACATCTGGTATCTAAAGACTGGGGTCTAGTATTTAAAGATAGGTGATCTAGTATTTGAAGAGTGGGAATCTGGTATTTAGAGAGTGGTGATAGGGTATTATGATCTAGTGTTCCATTAGAAGCGACGAACTATTGAAGTATAAGTGATCTTGAACGCAAAAGGAGATGATGCCGTGTTCTAGAACGTGTGATGCCGTGTTCTAGAGTGTGTGATGCCGTGTTCTAGAACGTGTGATGCCGTGTTCTAGAATGTGTGATGCCGTGTTCTAGAACTTGTGATGCCGTGTTCTAGAGTGTGTGATGCCGTGTTCTAGAACTGTCTCTTATACACATCTAGATGTGTATAAGAGACAGGCATAGAACTAGTAAAGAGTATTGGCATAGAACTAGTAAAGAGTATTGGCATAGAACTAGTAAAGAGTATTGGCATAGAACTAGTAAAGAGTATTGGCATGGAACTAGTAAAGAGTATTGGCATAGAACTAGTAAAGAGTACTGGCATAGAACTAGTAAAGAGTATTGGCATGGAACTAGTAAAGAGTATTGGCATGGAACTAGTAAAGAGTATTAGCATGGAACTAGTAGAGAGTATTGGCATAAAACTAACAAAGAAAGCCGTACAGTGAGCGTCGTGCAGAGAAGCACAATGCACTGTGGCTTGCATGGATTAAATGAAGATTTATTAAAATCGACTATATTACAATGACTGTCGTACACTGAAGCAAAATGCACTGTGCTTTGCATGTTAATTGCATTTCTCGAAGTTATAATTACTGGACCAAAAGTTGTCAATTGTTACGCGGCCACCTGCAAGCCTTCACTGTTTCTCAAAGCAACCGGAGAGCCACAATTAAAATCCCAGCTGCATCGTGTATTTGGAAGTTAATTCACCGGTCACACGTTTATTAAAGCTTTAAGTCGCAGCTTCATCAAGCAATCGTGGTCCGTTATGTGATCATGTTCAGCCGATTGCTGGTCGAATTATTTGCATCCTCCATCACTCACCCGAACGTACGACCACCGTATCTGGTCTAACGAGTAATATCCGTTCATAAAAAGGCCTCAGAGCAATTTGAGTAACTGGAATAATTATCTCGCAATATTATTATTATGTATCATTATCTAGCACTATTGTCTTACGCTTGTCTTGCTAGGCTCGTCCTCCGAAGAGACGCTCGTCGCTGCCTTGGTCTTCTTCTTGGTCTTCTTCATCGTCGGCGACGCCTGCAGGTTAGAGAAGCTCCCTCCCTTGGCGGCCTTCGTGCTAGAAGAGCTTCCCTCAGGGGCGGCCTCCTCCGGCTGGGGATGCACCTCAGCGGTGGTCGTGGTCGTTACCTTCTACAGACAACGAGTGGTTCGTCAGGTCGCTCAGTCATGCAAGTGTCAGTAATTAGGATTCTGCGTTTTTAAATGTGAAGATATCAAGATATTAATCAATTAAATTATATAAATCATCAACTATCAACTAAAGATATCAGTATTAATGAACCCAGCATTAATAGATCAATTATACCAAGTGTCGAAGAATCTGGTTTCAGGTATGATAAGACCTTGTATAAATGTATGATGGCATGGCAGCAAGTCGAGCATCAGGTGTTAAAGCACCAATTATTAAATTATCAGCCTGCAGTGCCTCGAATATTAAATAATTTAGCATCAAATTTGTAAGAGTAGCAAGTATCAGGAACTGGAGTACGTATCAGATACAAAAATTTCAGTTATTTTTTTTTTTAATTCAGGTATTAGGTATCAGGAATTAAAGCATCGAGTAGCAAAGAGTCTGAGTGTCACGTTTCTGTCAAAATAGAATGAATCGCAGCAAGTATCGCAGCAAGTATCGCATCAAGTGTCGCAGCAAGTATCGCAGCAAGTATCGCAGCAAGTGTCGCAGCAAGTATCGCAGCAAGTATCGCAGCAAGTATCGCAGCAAGTATCGCAGCAAGTATCGCAGCAAGTATCGCAGCAAGTATCACAGCAAGTATCGCAGCAAGTATCGCAGCAAGTATCGCGGCAAGTATCACAGCAAGTATCGCAGCAAGTATCGCAGCAAGTATCGCAGCAAGTATTGGAGCAAGTATCGCAACAAGTATCGCAACAAGTATCGCAACAAGTATCGCAACAAGTATCGCAACAAGTATCGCAACAAGTATCGCAACAAGTATCGCAGCAAGTATTGGAGCAAGTATCGCAACAAGTATCGCAGCAAGTATTGAAGCAAGTATCGCAACAAGTATCGCAACAAGTATCGCAGCAAGTATCGCAGCAAGTATCGTAGCAGGTATCGCAGCAAGTATCGCAGCAAGTATCGCAGCTAGTATCGTAGCAGGTATCGCAACAAGTATCGCAGCAAGTATCGCAGCTAGTATCGCAGCAAGTATCGCAGCAAGTATCGTATTAAGATGGCAGGAAAGTATTTTATGTAAGTGTGTGAGTTCACAGGAAATTATATCAGCATCTCACCTTCATGATGGGCTTGGACGGCTCGACGGAGGCCAGGTCGGGCGGCTGCTTCTTGACGCGGACCGGCACAGCGTACGGCGACGACCTGCACCAGGCTCGGAGTTATGACGTCGCAAGTCATGTCGTGTGTAAAAATCGTGTAACGTCTAGGCTGCTACACTGAGAGAGTAGTCTCTAGACTGAGCTTAGAGGTATTTTGGGTTTGCCTGACCCCTCAAAAAAATAAAGTTCTAGTCTAAATCGCCTTTCCGACTTTATACTGTCCTGAGCGTATGACAGGGGACGGCAGAGTCAAGCCGAGCTCGGAAGCTGCCTATAGAGGCAGCACTTCAAGCCCGGCCGAGGCGGAAATTAGCGGCTGATTTACTTGCTCCTCGAGTCCTGGGCGGCGCCTGTTGCTGAGTCGAGCATCCAACTTTTGTTCGGGGTGACTCTCTCCAGCCACCATAATTTGTTTCGAAGTCGTAACTCGTATGAGGAATACTACGGCCAATCCTCAAAATTACGGCCAAATTTTCAGACTTACCACGTTTAAACATACGCGAGGTATTTAACTCTCACCACCCAGCTTCTCAATTATAGCATGTATTCAATGTATTTAAGAAGCCTATTTAGTGCGATTAAATAGAATTAATAAAGCTTTGCGTATAGTTATATGTAGCCAAATAACGCCATATAGCTATGTAGAGCTTAATAAGGTTGTATGGCAAGAGCCTGTATGAGTGCTCAGCATTTAAGGATCAGAGATACCAACCCGCCGCCGCTGCTGCTGCTGCTTGCGGTTCTCGTTTTCGTCTCGCTGTCCCATGTCACTTTAGTGCTGCCATTTGACTTGCTACTTGACTTGCCATTCGACCTGCCATCTGACTTGGCTGTAGGGTCACTGCCATCAGAGGAGTGCGGGTTCTTTTTGTAAACAGAAGCGTACGCTGGAGCACCTGCACGGTTGAAAACAAAATTTGAAGCACCAAAAAATGTTACCCAATGATGTACTTGCTTGTCAGGTCTGTTCCATTACAATTCTGGGTCAAGGTTACGTGGAGGTTCAGTTCAGCAGTTGTGTACCACCTACCTCTCGTCTGTTACGTGTACTTTGTTACCCAACCTCTTGTCTGTAACTTTCTTACCCCAAACCACTTGTCTGTAGCTTTGTTACCCTAAACCTCTTGCCGGTAACTTTGTTACCCTAAACCTCTTGTCTGCAACTTTCTTACCCTAAACTTCTTGTCTGTTACTTTGTTACCCTATACCTCTTGTCTGTAACTTGTTACCCTAAACCTCTTGTCGGTAACTTTGTAACCCTAAACCTCTTGTCTGTAACTTTTTGAGTAATGCCTCTAGTCTGTTACTTTCTAACCCTATGCCTCTTGTTTGTAACCTTGTTACCCTAAAACCCCTCGTTTGTTAGCTTGTAACATATCAAGTAGCAATCAAAGAGCTATAAATATTCAACTATATTATTGAACAACCAAGGTGTATCTCACCCTCGCTGACGTCGCCCCTACTGCCCCGGTAGGCCGTATAGGCGGGGACGGTCTCGTCTACCGCGGGGCGTGAGGCCTCGAAGTCTCCCTCCGTCCCCGTGAGGTAAGGGGAGCTGGGCGTCCCATCTGGAGACGGACCTGCACGATATACAAGTATATCAACACTTACGACATCGTAAATATTATTTAGTATCTAAGTACAAGCTTCAATGTTCACGCAACGACTCGCCAACTCCGGCTCACTATTTGCGGTTTAAATCCTGCGATGCGACTCAACGTTTGCGGCTCACCAGGGTCCATCCTGCGCAGGCCGGCAGGGGCCGTCGCGGGCGCCACGTATAACGACGTCGGGCGCACGTCAGGCACGTCTTGACGGACGTCAAAAACTTCTTCATAATCCTGGTCCGGCGACGTCTGAACGACGTTGCCGTTGCCAGGAGACGTGCCCACATGGCCGTTGCCAGGAGACGTGCCCACGTGGCCGTTGCCAGGAGACGTGCCCACGTGGCCGTTGCCAGGAGACGTGCCCACGTGGTCGCCGCTGGACGTGCTTGAGGCGTCGTCTCCGCCTCTGCGGCGACAACGTCCAAGGCCGTTAGACAAATTTCGAGCATTTATATTTTTTGTTAAACTGTCAGGGAAAAATCACTGAAGTATGGGTGACATAAAGGTAGCATTGGAGGGAAATATTCTAAGGTAATTTTGGGGGTAATAGTCGAGGGTAACTTTTGGGGTAACAATCGAGGGTAACTTTCGGAGTAACATCCGAGGGTAACTTTGGGGTAACATTCGAGGGTAACTTTTGGGATAACAGTCGAGGGTAACTGTTGGGGTGACTGTTGAGGGTAACTTTTGGGGTAACATTCGAGGGTAACTTTTGGAGTAACAGACGAGGGTAACTTTTGGGGTAACTGTCGAGGATATCATTTTAGGAATGCATTCGAGAGTACTCGAAGCATGATACATGCTTGACACAAGTATAACGCACGCAAGGCACGTATGGGACTGCGCACAGAGCACCCACGTGAGGTCGGCGCTGAAGGCGTGATTGGGGTACGTGGCACCCAGCGTGCTGAGGCTGGGGGCACTACAGGGCGGCGACGGCAGGGCAGTGACAGGGCAGAGGTAGGGCAGCACAGGGTAGTGGCAGGGCCGTGGCAGGGCAGTGACAGGGCAGACAGAGGGCAGCGCAGGGTAGTGGCAGGGCCGTGGCAGGGCAGTGACAGGGCAGAGGTAGGGCAGCGCAGGGTAGTGGCAGGGCCGTGGCAGGGCAGGACAGTGACAGGGCAGGACAGTGACAGGGCAGAGGTAGGGCAGAGCAGGATAGTGGCAGGGCAGTTGCAGAGACAAAGCAGTTTATCAGCGCGCGGCAATGATGGACAATTAAGTTTAGTTTAGACACCATAGCGCTGCAAAGTTTGATATCCCAGAGTCTGGCAGATGGTGTAAAACCTGAACTCACGTGTTAGTTCGGCCTTCACCAAGCCTTTGTCCTGTAATCACTTCAACGACATATTTGTGGCTAATACGTCCCAGGCCTCATAAGTATTGTTTTTTGCGGCAACGGGCGACTTTCAGGTGGCCGGTGAATAGCCCTCAAGCTGACAAACCACTTCTCACCACTAGGCGATTAATATAGGAGTTTGTAATTCCTTCATAAGCTAATGGGAATGCCTTGACTCTTCCACTGCACGGTGATCGAACATAAAATCCCGCGTTAATCTACTGAATTTCACTATTTATTCAGGTTATGCCGTCGTCTCTATTTTAAATATTTTGATTCAAGAATGCATTGTTTACCGATCAGTGGAGAATTAATAGGAGAAAGAATGCTCATCGAGAAATATACTACTATACAAAGTCTATACTCCACGAAAATTGCAGTTAAACATTTGCTTACATGATAGAAGTTGTTATGCAGAGTTGATAAAATTCTGCTCAACATTCGTTATTTGAAACTAAATAGCTGCAATAGCATCCAAATTCCATCCTGATAATTACCAGTGGAGTTACAACGGGAGAATTTAGTGAATAAATACGCGGTAAAGCGGTCTCTTAGAGTCCAACTTAAGCGGTGGAAAATTTTATTTACTATAAAATTGTTTTAGTAAAGTGAATGAAGGCGCCCCAAAACTGCTGCTGACATTCCTTAAAGTATAGACGTGTTTGATCATCAACGTTAAACTTATTAGTGAAGTGGACCTGAGTTTAATGATGCTCGTAACTTTTAATTTTATGTTCGTACTCCAAAAGTCATGCTCGAAATTCATGTTCGTGAAATATTTTATGTTCGCCGAAGATTATCACGTATGGCAACTTGCTGTTGGGTTTACGAATCCCTAGCTTAATCCGACCTTTTCCCACACTTCAGATTTCGGACCCTCCGCCCACCCGGAGTGTCCTCCTCCCACCGACCTCCGATCTCAGGGTCTCACCCGTTGGGTTTGGAGTCCAGCCGTCGACGGTATAAGACAAAGCCCACGATCGCCCCCACCAAGATGAGAGCTAGAAGCCCGCCCAGGATGCCCACCGCAACCTGGTAGCCCACTACTGACGTCTCCACCTGCTCCTTTGGTGGATTGAAGGTGTCCTCCTCCGTGAAAGTCGATGCCTTCGTGTCTGCTGGTAGGGCGCTGTTGGAATGGACAAGAAGTTCAATGGTATGACGAAGGAGTGAACGGCAACGAGGGAGAAACCGATCTGAATAACGTGCAGCAAACATGCAGGCATTCCGCACGGGTTACTGGGTACATAGTATGGGTCATATAGTACGTCGCGCGGGTCACTGGGTCCGCCCTATGGATCAATTGGTACATCGCGCAGGTCACAGGGTACAACAAGCGAGTCACAGGGTACAACACGCGGGTCACTTGGTACACCGCGCAAGTCACAGGGTACAACACGCGGGTCACAGGGTACAACACGCGGGTCACAGGATGCAACACGCGGGTCACAGGGTATAACACGCGGGTCACTGGATACAACACGCGGGTCACTGGGTACAACACGCGGGTCACTGGATACAACACGCGGGTCACTGGATACAACACGCGGGTCACTGGATACAACACGCGGGTCGCAGATTACACCGCGCAGGTCACTGGGGACGAGTCGGCCTATCGAAGGGCCTATCATTATGGGTGCCGACTTGTAGAAAAGCCTGCCAGTAGAGTGGATTACCTGTTTAGCTCAGACCTGTTGTGACGCTGACCTGTTGAAATCAGACCTGTCGTGGGGCTAACCTGTTGAGGTCCTCCAGCGTGATGTAATTGCCAGCGTCGTCGAAGGAGTAAATGTGCAGCACCGTCACCCAGGTCTCCGCTACAGCCTCCTGCAGGAGGACGGTCTGCTGAACCTCTCCACCATCTCCACCTTCCATCCCTCTCCTTGAACGGCCTGCAGCTCCATTAGGAGCGTCCAGCAGGGCAGCGCTAAGCTTGGCGGAGGAGTATAGGAGCTGCAGCTGCATACCAGAGGACGTCGATAGATCCTGCAGCGCCGCCTCCACCTCTCCAGGATCCAGCGACGGCACGATGACATCGTACACGTTGGACGTCTCCAGAGGCCGCACCTGCGCAAAAAAACGTTATTGTTGCAATATTCATTGAGAAAAAGTTACGGTAAAGGGAGATTTGCAGCCAAATTAGAGTAAGCGGAAATACTAGTAAAATTAACACAAGAATGTAAAACAAGAGTAGTCATAAAGCATGGATACCATGATTTGCACTGTATAAGTTGATATGTATATGAATTTTTACAATTAAATTGCATCTCCAATAGCAATGCTAACAACAGCAGAGCTGACAACAACAGTGCTGGCAACAGCACTGCTGACAACAGCAGTGCTGACAACAGCAGTGCTGACAACTGACCGTTATGTCGCGGCGGGCCTCGTCGTTGGCGCCGTCGCTGATGCTGACGCTGAGCTGACAGGAGGCAGCGCAGGCGGCGACGTCAGCGATGTAGAGGTCGCCTGACTTCGGCTCCAACAGGAAGTGTGCGGCGTCAGCGCCTGACAGCGTGTACTTCAGACTTTCCTGCGACGTGTCCTTATCCTGGACCTGCAGAGGACACAGAGTTCCCCACCGTTACCGCTGTTCCAGTGGGTACAGTGGCAACAGAGGAGACGGAGGGAACAATAATAACGGTAACGGTAAAAACAGTGAGAACAATGGGAACAGAGGAACTGAGAGAACTGATAACGGTAAAAACAGTGAGAACAATGGGAACAGAGGAGACAGAGGGAACAATGATAACGTAAAAAACAGTGAGAACAATGGAAACAGAGGAACTGAGAGAACTGATAGCGGTAAAAACAGTGAGAACAATGGGAATAGAGGACTGAGAGAACACTGATAACAGAGAGAACAGAGAGCTTGTGAGCACCACACGACACTCACCACGATGGTGGTGACAGGCCCCACCAGCTGCTGCAGGGCCCCATTGGTGGGGTAGCCGAGGGTCATGATGCCTTCTGCGGGCCCCACGATAGCGGGGGCCTCGTCGTTCACGTCAAGGATGTTGACAAGAATCAGCGCCTCACTCCTGTCATGAGGCACGTCAGTCATGTTGACAACATGAGAGACACATACATCACTCACTCATCACAAGTCCTTCACTCTTCAACACCCTTCTCATCACAACTCAACAATCTTCATTCACTCCTCGCCCTGATCCCCCACTTGGACGAGTCCCCAGTCCCTTAAGCCCTTATCCCCCTCCTGGACAAGCCCCACATCATCCCCAGCCCCAAACTCCCACCTGGACAAATCCCCAGTAATCCCAAGCCCCAAACTCCCACCTGGACAAATCCGCAGTAATCCCAAGCCTTGAACTCCCACCTGGACAAATCCCCAGTAATCCCAAGCCCCGAACTCCCACCTGGACAAATCCCCAGTAATCCCAAGCCCCGAACTCCCACCTGGACAAATCCCCAGTAATCCCAAGCCCCGAACTCCCACCTGGACAAATCCCCAGTAATGCCAAGCCTTGAACCCCCACCTGGTCAAGTCCCCCCCTTGTTTGGTGGGGCAATCCTCCCCTTCCTGCAGGGCCTTCACCCGCACTTCCACCTGACGCTGCTCCATGTCGTCCGCGTCCACGGTGGAGTTGAGCGTCAGGTCCCCAGACGCCGAGTCCATGGAGAACCAGTCTGCTCCGGGGGGAGGGTGCGTTAACATGCAGAGAGGAGAACATTATGATGTGGTGAATGGCAAGAAATGATGTATTTATGGTGTGTGTGAACGTAAATGGCAATGAAAAACGCAATATATGTTGGTGAACGTGAACGGCAGCTAAAGCTATGATGAATGTGCTTCTGGACAGAAAACGGACTCATCGTTTCAAGTTAATGGCGAGTGAAGGAGATAAACTCGTGACTGTGCAGTGTACAGTGTACAGCGTGAAACCAATATACTGTGATGACCCATCATTATACTGTGATGACCCACCACTACACTGTGATGACCCACCTCTACACTGTGATGACCCACCTTTATACTGTGATGGCGTAACATCCGTGATGCAGAAGCTGTGCTGTGCTTCTGGAGTCTGTGTGGTGACTGTGGTGTTAATTTCTCCTGCGGTCTGTGCGGTGACTGTGGTGATGACGGTGCCTCGTGGTGCATCCTCCTTCACCTCCACCATCATCACCCCAACCGCCATGAACACGTCATCACATGACGGCGCCCTCACCACGTCTATGTGCACCTGACAAGTACACGTGCCACATCACCACACGTACACGTGCCTCAGCACCACACGTACACGTGCCTCAGCGCCCCTCCTACCCTCGTCACCAGCACCTCTCCTACCCTCGTCACCAGCACCCCTCCTACCCTCGTCACCAGCACCCCTCCTACCCTCGTCACCAGCACCCTCCTACCCTCGTCACCAGCACCCTCCTACCCTCGTCACCAGCACCTCTCCTACCCTCATCACCAGTACCCTCCTACCCTCGTCACCAGCACCCTCCTACCCTCGTCACCAGCCCCCTCCTACCCTCGTCACCAGCCCCTATCTTACCCTCGTCACCAGCACCCTCATACCCTCGTCACCAGCACCTCTCCTACCCTCGTCACCAGCACCCTCCTACCCTCGTCACCAGTACCCTCCTACCCTCGTCACCAGCCCCCTCCTACCCTCGTCGTGACGGGTCGCTGGTAGTCCTCGTCGACGATGGCGGTGGCGACGAGGTGGTAGTAGCCCTCGGGGGGGTTGTCGACCCCCACCACCCCCGTCTGGGGGTTCAGGGGGAAGAATGACGTGCCGTTACTGGCGCTTTCGTCTGTTGGGGAGGGAGAAGAGCATGAGTGACGTCACATTCTGATGTGACCTCGACCCTGAGAGTTCATTTCCTGTTATAATAACATGACATTTGTTGACTGAGTAATTAAGCTTTAGGTGCCTGCGAAGCATTGCACAGCAGCAGGCACTGCAGAGTCTGTAGCAGCAGGCACTGCAGAGTCTGCAACAGCAGGCACTGCAGAGTCTGTAGCAGCAGGCACTATAGTCTGCATCAGCAGGCACTATAGAGTCTGCAGCAGAAGGCACCTGCAAGGGATGCAGTAGCAGCAGGTACTCTCACCCCAGGCGTAGAGGACAGAGTCGGGACTCTGCGGGTTGCCGTCTGTGCGCACCACCTGCAGGACGCCGGCGACGCTGCTGGTATTGTACACCTGGAAGTTGTAGTCGCTCAGCTCGAACCTGTACGGCGTGTCTGGCGGGGGCGTTGTCGGATCTGGGGAAGAAAAACCCAAGTTGTTGGGCGAATCAAAAGATGTGGAATAAACATGCGATGAGAGTTTAACCAATAGGCAAGGAGCGAATTTGTCTAACTACTTCGGCTGAGTTTGGGCAGCTTCGTGAATTGGTCTTTGTTACGTATAACAAAAAGGTTAAAGTAAATTCCAAACTCCGGAGCCAGCAAGACCACTCTATTCCTCTATCATCTCAACCAGATTGTTGTTTCGGTGCCACCAGGAAAGAATGAGTAAAAATAAAGGCGGTGCATGCAGGATCGCAGGAAACAGGAGAGAGTGATGGAATGGCTGTAGGACGCGAGGGTAGGGGCATAGCCAATGATTTTACTGATATAGGCGTTTGGGGTTGCGGAGGAGGAAGTCACTCGCGGAAAGTTTCGTCAGTCCGTCGTCACAATCAGTCCCTGCATTGGCGCTTATTCTATAACGGCCGTCCATGAACATATTATTTGTAGTTAGTGAGGGCAAATTAGAATGATTAATTAGGTAGATGGGAAAGGTTTGGACCAAGTGTTTATACTTGAAGCTCTTGAACCGTTGGTGTTGTACGTGGATAATGGAATGACGAGTTGGTTGAAAAGGTCAGGTGCGTCAGGTTCTATTTTGACCTCTTAAGGTCAGGTTCTATTTTGCGTCAGATGTTATAGGCGTGGTCGTGAAGGATTTTGTCAATCGTAGGTATGTTGGATCGTTCCTGGATTGATTAAGAGGCGATGAAGCCGGATCAGAGGTGTAGGTTATGAAACTGAGGGCTCAGTTTTGCACCTTTCCCGATTCAACCAACAGAACTAAATTCAAATAATTTATATAGACAAAAAGCCACGCACGATATATTCATTGACAACCAGCACTTCTCTTACTCAAACACATGGCTACAACGCTAAAATTTCATCGCCCAACAAACCTAGACAAACTTAACATATTCATCAACTTTCTTCAGCGCGTAAAATAGACTATACTCGTACATATTTCGTCTTCGTCTGATACGTAATCACTATATTCTTCCGTACAATCCTTTTACACAGTTTATTCCAGTCGGCGAAAACCAAACTACAATGAAATTATTGGTTAAAACGGCCTTGAGATTGCATATGAAGTTGACCAACTCGCGTTCACGTCACCCTAACCAAATCTTATCACTCGCAAGACGTACGGACCATCAACACTTCAATGAGTTTTGAGAGGACGAGCGCTGAGTCTAGTCACGGCGAGGCTATACCAATGATTGACGGGAATGCACAAACGAGTTTCGTTAAAGCCGCAAGATGGTTAATGGACGCACTTGGAGTAGCAGTGGATGCACCGCTAGATGCAGTGGAAGCATCTGTAGGAGCAGTAGAAGCATCTGTAGGAGCAGTAGAAGCATCTGTAGGAGCAGTAGAAGCATCAGTAGGAGTAGATGCACCGCTAGATGCAGTTGAAGCATCAGTATTGGCAGTGGAAGCACCACTTGAAGCAGTAGAAGCATCTGTGGGAGAAGTGGATGCATCGCTAGATGCAGTGGAGGCAGCACTGGAGGCAGTCGATCCATCTGCAGGATGGTCATGCACATGACTTGGAATGGTAGATACATGACTAGGAATTGTGATAACATGACGAAATCGTGGACACATGACTGGGAATGCTGGATACATGACAGGGAATGGTAGATGCATGACTGGGAATGGTAGATACATGACTGGGAATGCTGGTTACGTGACTGGGAATGGTAGATAAATAACTGGGAATGCTGAATTCTAATTTGTCTCGTTAGGATCCATCGAACTGGAATTTGTCTTTACATACTAGATCCGCGTTCCTCAAAGGAAACGTTTTCGGGTTGTTAAATCCAGATAATCATCAATTACTTAAAAACAAAAGAGAATCCAATGCCTAATTATTGTTATTGGGTCTCGGCCGTACGCTCGGTAATTATCGGGAAACTTAAACCTAAAACAAATTATAATAACTATGAATAATCTAACTGTTTTTTCTAATACTTGGAACATTTAAAATATGAGGCATGCATGAGAAAAACGAGAAACAGCAGAAGAAATGATGTCTGTCTTATTACAATAACGCGTCAACGAAGCAGATGTTTATTTGCCTGGACTCGCTGCCCGAATCTGCAACAATTTGGACAGAAAAGTTGCAAGACCCACAATGATTTAGGAGAGTGGTGGCTTACCTAACACAAACACGGGTGTGCAGGTGGTGGAAGGGCTGAAATGTGTTGTTGACAGAACGAGAGATAAGCAAGGACGGATGACAGGACTTGAAGGAATTTGTAATCATAATGTGTAAATCATAAGGTGCTTATGCACGGGGCTAGCATTAGCTGCGAGTATTTGCATTCCAAATATTGTGATGATTTATTCTTCAGATGAGAGTAGCTGATGAGTTTGCGTCTGAAGCAGTTCAGCGGTTGTTGATTTACGGTCTAGCTATGGTATTGAGAGTTGCGCGGCGGCAGCCGTTATAGTGTGCATATTTGTGTCGCTCTGTATCCTGCTTGGGGCAAGTGTTTCTAATGTAACGAACTATGTCTTTTCCTAGCAACGACGGTTTTAATAAAGTCAAGAGGTGTTCTGATGAAATTGAACTGTTCTTATAGATATTCCATAAGTATGATCTACAGTGGAATGTGCGTCACAATGAATATTCCATTAAAAATTAATTGAGAAATTAGTGCATTGAAACCTAAACGTGACCTTATAAGGTCTCTCATTCACATTCTGATTCTACCCTGATCTGCGAAGTTTTTCACCTCCTTAGCAAGAGTGGCGACTATGCCACCAACTGCTTCATCAAACGTCTCCCAAACTCGTTATTACCGTAAGGTTCCATATTCCACCATGCACTGACCTCACCCAACGGCTTCCAACGACTCACTGGCACCTGCGGACTGTTTACAAAATACTCTCCTCGTGTATAGGCTTTCAGCCGGCAAAACTTAGAGCGCGAAAACTCGCAGCTAATACCAGCCCTGTGAATAAGCACCTATAGTGACCACAACTTGAGCCCCGCGAGTCATGCAGTTGACGGAGTGCTTGCTAAAGATCAGGCGATAGTCCCGAGTATTAGCACTTGTAGGACGAGCTCATGGTGATAACCCTTTGAGAGTAGTACCTTCGGTCGCAGGTATCGTGGGGCAGGTAGGGACGATGGTGGTACAAGGCTGACATGTGAGTTGTGTCTCAGATGACAGGGATTCGGTAGTTTGTTCTTGCGTAGTCGTTGACGTACTCGGGTTTGTGGTGAACGTCGTTGGTGACGTACTCGGGTGCGTTGTGAACATCGTTGTCATCGTCGTTGGGCATGGAGGACAAGAGCTTGTCGTCATGGGGACCGTCATAAATGTGGTGGCTATTGAAGTGTCCGTAGAAGCTGCAGTGGTATCTGTAAAAACTGTAGTCATGGATGCAGTGGTTGGAGTGAAAGTAGGACACGGTGTGGTGGTAGGAGTTGTCATAGGTGATGTAGAAGTAGATGATGAAGTAGAAGGTGAAGTAGAAGTGATAGTGGTTGGGGTTGTTATGGTAGTGGAAGTCGTACTTGTTGTCGGCGCCGCAGGAAGGAAGATCTCCAAGATGGTAGTGTCTTGGTTGTTGCCCGCATCAGTTGCCTGGAAAAATGTTCACAAATCACTACCATTCAATGTACCAACCTTTTTCTAGCAAAGTATTCGTTTGTTCTATTAGGATTAAAGTTTATGACGTTGTATTGAAAAGTAAGTAAGGTTCCTCCGAGTTGCTGAAAAATTCTATCATGCTGGTCGGAGCCGACGCAACAGAGCGTTTTTTGGATGCCCTTGAAGGTTTCAAACATTCAATCGCGGTTGAATTCGAACGTTTATAAGCTGACGTGTCTGGAAACCTTTTAAACAATACTCTCCTTAATATATTATTTGAAATTTCTTATTGGCTTCACTCATGTGCATAAATATTTTTAACAGCAATAATTATTGTGATAAATGCGCAGCTGTATGCGCAGTCACTGGCCGAGGCAATTCCTTTACGGGTTTCACTTTCATCCACTGCGTGCGACTATAAGCTTTGTCTCGCGCCACTTCTAGAGCAAAGGACCATCATCAGCTTATGTTTTGTGTGAAGCAGGCAACCTATAGAGAGTGATAACGTTGACTGAATTCTGAATTATATATTTTTTCACGCAAGAAATATTGATAATACAAACTACTAACAATATCATTGGTCGTTAATTAAAGATGACTACTTGGCCGTGTTCCTTGCAATGAAACAATTCTGGCCTGTGTTGAACCACAGCAACTGGCAACCAACAGTCAACCACAGCAGCTGGCTTCTACTCCATCATCCAAGTTCGACTAGAATTATTCTATGAATTATTCTGTGATCGGTGGTCAGATAAAACGAAAATGGAGGAAAACTTGAGGTATTTCATAATAAATTAGGATGCCTTTCAAGTAACCCAGTAACGACAATATCAAAAGCTGCAAGGTTAGTGCAGGTTGAGGTTCTAAGTGAGGCTTGTACGTATAGTAACGCCGTAGTTAGCTCTAGGCCTACCTGGGTTTACAAAATTAAAAAAACTTTAGAAAGATTTCTTTGAAGGACCGTTGATTTAGCGGAAATTTTGAAAACTTCAGGTAGGCTACTAACCCAAAATATCAATGTAGCAATAATTATGAGGTGCTTCAGGAAAAATTATGAGCCTACCCTGTATGTCAGTTAACTACGTACTGGCATCCTATAATAAACTGGAGTAGCCTTGATGAATATATACTGTTAACTACCTCAACTAAGAACAAATATAGGGGAAGGTCAGGCATATAAATAGGTCAAGAACTGGCGTGTAGTTTGAGTGCGGGAAGTACGAAGTTAGACACAGCAGAGAATTAACATGTGTTGTGAATAACGAACGTGTAAAATGACTCACCCTCACGATGAAATGAACCGAGATAACGCCGAGCATGTCATCTGGTATGTCAGTTTGGAGCGTCACAAGCGCCGTGCTGGGGTCGATCATGAAGTAGTCGTTCCAGTTAGGATCTGTGTTCAAATTTTCCGTTAAAGTAAACTATTGCGCGAGACAAAGGCATATAAAAGAAAGTTTAACCATCAATGTCGACAATGCAATGTTATAGTACAGTACAGTAGTCCTTCCGTCCGTCACGTCCGTCCGTCCGTAAAGGACGGACGGACGTGAGAAAATGCGCTCTCTGTCACACTGCAGTGAGTACTGATCTGATTTTTTATATTCATATTTGCCTCGACAGTTTAAATCGGCATCTTATAATTAAGATGGGCGGGTTGATGCTCAAAAGCACCCGTGATACGTCAACGTCCTAACTTATCACTGCCAGAGGTATCATGTGTCATCAGACTCATCACTTGGTGTAATACTATTCCTAGCTATGATGAGTATAGACCATTGAAGCTATGATATTCCTAACTAATTTGAGGAATGACCATTGGGTAGTAACAGAGCCAGGGATCACTGCGATGTCGAAGTTCGGTCCCAACTTCTAAATCAAAGGACTATAGAAATGAGAGGGCCTCGCCTTTCTATACTCCATCATATTTAAGGGGACCGGGCTGCCCCCGGAGAAACTTCTACAGTTATCATCCGATCGTCATGAAACTTCACATACATACTTAAAATGTAAAAAGAAAAACATTTTGCTCGTATGAATTTTTCGAAAAAATTGATAGAAAACGTGAAATTCATAGAAAACGGCTAAAAAGGGGTACTTTAGAAAATCTATCTCCTCCCACAAATATCATCCTACAACATCGAGACACGTATCATTCGATTCGTAAAGACCATATCTATCGACTCTAACATCACTTTTTTCATTTTCCACCTAATTTTTTTATGACGTTTTTTTCCCATTTTTTACATTTTTCACCCCCCCCCCTTCTTCCCCATATAAAAAACGAACAAGACCGAAATTCAAAAAAGTGATGTTAGAGTCGATAGGCCTGGTCTTTGCAAATCGAATGGTATATGTCTCATTGCTGTAGCTTGGAAACTGTAGGAGGAGATAGATTTGCCGTGAGAGCAGTATGAGGTTTTCAGTACGGCCAAAAGACTGCCGGGCGGCACGTAAAATGACGTAAAAGAGTCGTAACGTAGCCAACATACCGAAACTAAGCCTTAAAAGTAAGAAAGGAAGGTGTAGAGCGAGTGGCTGCCACCTTCCACCTTGCTGTCATGATAGGCACTGAAAGATTGCGTTGCATCCCACAGTATATGTAGTCACGCCTCCTATTTATTGCCTTAGCAATTAGTGAAGGCCCCCCCCCACCACCCCCCATTCCATGGGGCGTGGTGAACGTAAAAATGGAGGTAGAGAGATGATTCTGCCACCAATGGAATCGTCAGAAAGTAAGTTTTAAGATGAGTATGAGCACCGGATAATGCCATGATTGGCCGCTTTACGTCAGGCGTTTCTTTTAGTTTGTCCAGCCCTGTAATTAAATCCCATAGACATTTGTTAAAGGGCCTAAAAACTGCCCTTCTTTGGGAAGCTGTCACGAAATCATTTTTCGACGTAGAGGGATGATTCTGGCACCGTTGGATGCGTCAAAAAGTAAGCTTTAAGATGAGCCCAAAAAGTGGAAAACGCCAAAATTGAAAATTTTAGCCAGGTCGGTCCCCTTAATGGATCTTAATCGGTCTCACCGCACACAGAGCCATTACTCACCATCCATGTCATCCACTTCCATGCTGTAGGTGATGACGGCACCCTTGTCAGCATCAGTGGCTTCAATGGCTGACGGTTCAATTTCGAGAGGGACGCCGATCTCCTGGTTGGTTCAAATAGAAATCTTCTACATCAATCATTCATTATATGGAATGTACCAACAGGTATAGCAGTTGATCGACATGTCAAGAAATCGACCAACGTATGCCGATGTTCTACGATAAACGATGAGACAAAGTTACCTAACTTCTTTCCTATAATAGACTCGTCGTCAACCAGCCGTCAGGTTAGAATAGCGGTTGGACATCCATACAACATTCAACATCTTGACTGTTGAGTTGCGCTGTATGCGTTGTTGTTGTGAAGCCGTGATGACGATGTTGTTGTCATATCTGGCAGTGCTCAAACCCAAATCTTGCAAGAAAACATTTGATTCACGAATGATGTTTAGTTAAGATCCATGAGCATGCCTCACCTGCTGCGACTCGAGCGTGCTTTTGTAGAAGGGCCGCACAAACACCGGCACTTCGTCCTCGTAGTTCGTGACTGTCAACACGATCGTCACGATCGCCTCCCTGGACGGCTGCCCTCCATCCTGAACAGAAATACTTGGTCAGCTGCGAATGTCAGCCACGCAAGATGGTGGACCTGTTACTCTAATACCAAACAATTAAGCGCCAGCAAACAGATTAGGTCGAGCAGATTATTGGCCAAAACATATTTAGCTTCAAGTATCAGCCGCGCGAGATATCAGCCGCGCGAGATGGTACGACATCGCTAATTAAGGAAATCAGAGAACTCAAACGCTAAAAGGAAAAGAGTGGAAAAGTTCCCGGGAAGGAAGCAATGTTGATATTGAACAATGTTATTGCACGTTACATCATGTTCTTTTAGCCAACTTTTTGCGACAAATATTATAACAGCATTAGGAACTTCGTGGACATGAGGTGGCCCAGTGGTTAAAGTTCAGAGTACCAAGATTGACGCAGAGAGGCGCGGGTTCTATCCCAGCTCTGTGCGCCAGTTGGTCAGAATCGGTAAGGAGGCCGGGCGGTTAAGCACAGCAGAATTGTTGCAGTGAGTTGCGCGTTCGAGACCGCAAAATGCTGCGAATGTTCTGCGATGTTAAGAATCGGCGACAGGCCTACGGCCAAATAAACGCTGAAACCGCTTTTATTATTATTATTATTATATTATGAATTCATGTTGAGCTGTTTGTATTCTCTAGGCTCACACTGGCATACTCATACAATCGCCACTGAACAAATCTAGGCTCAGCTTCAGCATGCACAGTACTCATAATAATAAATAATAATAATAGCGGTTTCAGCGTTTATTAGGCCATAGGACTGTCGCCGATTCTTAACATCGCAGAACATCCACAGCTTGTTACGGTCTCGAACTCACAACTCACTGATTCAAATTCTGCTTTGCTTAACCGCCCGGCCTCCTTGCCGATTCTGACCAGATACTGGTGCACAGAGCTGGGATCGAACCCGCGCCTCTCTGCACCAATCTTGGTACTCTGAACTGTAACCACTGGGCCACCCTGCCCATAAAAAATAGCGGTTTCAGCGTTATTAGGCCGTAGGCCTGTCGCCGATTCTTAACATCGCAGAACATTCACAGCATTTTGCGGTCTCGAACTCGCAACTCACTGCTACAATTCTGCTATGCTTAACCTCCCGGCCTCCTTACCGATTCTGACCAGAAACTGGCGCACAGAGCTGGGATCGAACCCGCGCCTCTCTGCGCCAATCGTGGTACTCTGAACTTTAACCACTGGGCCACCCTGCAACACCCTAGCGTGGTACTCATGATGCATCCTTGCGTCGTACTCATGGTACACCCTTGTACCCGCGGTACTACTGCAACACCCTAGCGTGGTACTCATAGTACACCCTATCGTGGTACTAATTGTGTAACCCTGCACGGTACTCATGGTACACCCAAGCGTGGTACTCATGGTACACCCTGGCGTGGTACTCATGGTACACTCTCGCACGGTACTACGATACTCATGGCACACCCTCGCACGGTACTCAGGGAACACCCATTCTACGCTCTTTCTACTTACATTTTCTACCAAATAACATACCTGCCTGGATGCTGTGAATAGCTCATTTACCCGAAGTCACTTTATGGTCCGAAACAACGTCAACCCATAATATGTTTAAGCGACATTTGAAATTGGCCTCCTAGAAATTTCCTTGCTCATTCAGACAGGGCCCAGTAACTTTTAAACTTAAAATTTACTAACTTAGTTGAGGTATTTGAGGTAACTTAAAAATTTCGCCACGAGAAAACATGTGCAAATGTTCGCCCACTCACCGCGATGGTCAGGTTGCACGTGACATCAGGAGAGTCCATGGTGTCGTAGTCGAGTTTCTGCCTGAGAGAGAAGGTGATGGCGACCTCGGAGTTGGCAGCGCTGTAGGAAGGGGCGTCGCTCATGAGTGGGCACGCATCGTCGAATACGGCAGAGAGGACGTTGTTGGGATCCGACCCATCAAGGTCCACGACGATGACCTGCGACGATGATCATGAGCTGGACACTCAGGTGACTCATAATGCGGTGTTCATTTTGTGGGGTGAACTTAAATGAGAAAGGGTAATGTGTAGAATGCAAAATCTGGTGGATGAAAAGCTAAAGGGCTAGGTACTTGGACCGATCCTATTTCTCATTCATATTCTAACCGAACTGACCCATGCATCTGTTTCGTCATTTGCGTATGAGAGGAAGCGGCGCCAATGATTACTCCGGAATGATTACATTCCGGAGTACTGCTGCCAGCTTTGACCAGCTAGAGGCGGGTGAGCTGCTACAATTTCATTCAATACAACGGACTTCAATTCAACGGTTCCGTCACGGATCAGCTGAATGCAGGATCTGTACAGCTATAAGAGGTTAACGCACCTGGAACTGTACTCATTATAGAGGGACGGGAAAGATGGAATAATTTATTCATACTATTTATCAGGAAGATAATGACTGGAATGACCAATAACTTTGAACGTAAGACTTATAGGAAAGCGAAACTTCACAGCGAGAGAAGGTTGAATGATTAGCATAAAATTATACCTTCCGGTAAGAAATGGTCTGCATAAAATCATACCTGCAGGTAAGGAATGGTCAGGTCTAGAGGGTAGTCCTCCCTGACGGTTGCTTCGTACTGCGACTTATCGGTGGTGGGGGTGTAGGTGTTCTCGTCTTTCAGGGGGAAGTTCAAATTCAAGGTGCACGCCTGCAATGTTTAACATCTGTTATTTTGAACCTGTTATTACATACCTTTTATTGTGCATTTTTTTTTGCTAACTCATTTAATCATATTCATCAAGGTGACGCAATTAATCAGATGAACATGGAACATCAATAGCCATAAGTACTGCATCCAATATTGCCTTGAGGTCTGCATCCAATAAGTCATGAACAAATCTGCCTCATGAGATCTGCTGCCCGGGGGGGCCATATAGTTTGTCAGTTGAGGGAGGGCTTATTAGGTCTGTTGAGAAGATGATGAGGGTTTAGCAATTCTCTTGATGAGTTGCGAGGCTTACTTGGTATTCTGCCGGAGGATCGATGTATGCGAAGACGAGGCCCAAAATCAACGTCGTGGCCTGAAACAGAAGAAGCAGCAACTGGAGACCAAAGTGCATGAACCTTATTAACCTGTTAATATTATTGTTATGAGAAAAAATCTGAAATGAAGCTAGAATGAATTCGTTGCCAGGGATGCGGCCCATTGAGATGCGTATCTTTGGGACAACGGTTTCTGCATGTTCGTAACTTGTCTAATGGTTGGCTGGCACCAACGCATCTTGTGTTGCTACTGATAATTATCTGAGTAAATAAATCAACACCCAAGGCTCTTCAGTACACAGCGACACACTCACAGGGAGTTCATGATCCCGCCAGCCTGTGTGCTTCTTGTACTAATTTATCTTAAAGAGACTTCACGTTCATCAAACTCATTATTCATTAAGTGTTAACCGCCATGACTACCACCCCCACCCTCCACCACTCACCGTCTGGTCATCGCCGGGGCTCTTGTAGTCGGTGAGGCCTGCCAGGTCCTTAGCAACTAAGACGTCCATGGTGGTCGCGTTGAAGAGGTTCCTGGTGAAGTAGTCCACAGAAGGCTCGGCGCTTAGCACGGTGGGGGTGGTGAAGGTATCATCGAGCCAGGAGAAGGTGAGCAGCTCGGCGCCCGCCGTCTCCAGTTCAGAGGTGGACGAAGGTGCGTTGTACACCAGCTGCCCGCCAAAAGCCGTCACCGGAAGGTCGAAGCTTTCCTCGCAACCTGCGGCACAGACATGGTGAGAGCCAAACTATTGTGGTGCTGATGATGCTGACGTAGATGATTAAAGGCTGATAATAACATAATAGTTAACATATTATGATTATGTTTATAGTGATGTTTGAGATTTTGGTAATAGATTAATGATCAACGCGATAGTGAAATTGCTGGTGACGTTGATAGCGATAATGATGGTAAACTTGATTGTAGTGGATGATGGAATTTAATTTATTATGAGTGACAGGGTCCTGGCTTAGTAGCAGCTTCTCGAGTCACGCCGAGCTTACAAGCTACTCAGAGGCCGCAATTAAAATCCAGCCGAAGCTGACATTTGCGGCTGATTTACGAGCTCCCCGAGTCCTGGGCGGCGCCTGGTGCAGAGTCGGGCCCGCATCTAAATTTTGTTAGGGGTACTTTTATGGTGATATTGTCCGACATTGTTCACATGAGTTGCAGATAGAGGAAGTTGTAGCAACTCCTGCCATGCATTCCGTCAGATCAGAGGAGTGAAGTGGTGACATCAGAGGGGTGATGTGGTGACATCAGAGGGGTGATGTGGTGACATCAGAGGGGAGATGTGGTGACATCAGAGGGGTGATGTGGTGACATCAGAGGGGAGATGTGGTGACATTAGAGGGGTGATGTGGTGACATCAGAGGGGTGATGTGGTGACATCAGAGGGGTGATGTAGTGACATCAGAGGGGTGATGTGGTGACATCAGAGGGGTGATGTGGTGACATCAAAGGGGTGATGTGGTTACTTTATGTCTTGATGGTATTACTAGTCTACTTGAACAAGAAACAACTGAATGAAAGTCAATTCAACGGGCAATTCAACATAAGCTAAACGAACAAGACAAAATTTATCAATAAATATTATATTAGTGCAACATTGCGCCCGCTGCTCACTCTGTGCGTGCGCCTGCGAGGCGAGCAGCAGCAGCAGCAGCGCTGCGCGTTCTGGGCAGCTCATCGCGGCCACTTGAGTCATGGGAGCGAAACTCTTCAACCAGACCCACTAGGATAATTTTCCCACCTAGTGAACACTTATATACGTATAATACACTATATATATACCCTAAATACGCAGTCTACACTGAACGCAACTCGCGTAGTAAACACTAGAATACCGCTCGCTGCATCTATCTGAAAAACAGCTCTAATTTACGCTGTCTTTTGGGAACCGAAAGTAAGGTGTTTTCTTCAATCCTCTGTTTTAACGGGTTGAACTTATTAGATAATTTTATTTAATATAGAAGAAAGTTTGTGTGTTGTGAACCTGTCGCTGCTATATACATGGCTATAGCAGCGCTTATCCACAATATGCAGTGGCGGAAAATTACCGAGAACTGAAATGTTATTTATTATCCGAGAAACGAACCTAAAGGCGACGCAAAAAAAGTTTGAAATGAAAACGAGATTTATGATTTAGTTCATTGATGTTCATTACAAAATCGAAAGAAGTACAAAATTTCCTTCAAGTATCGTGGGGCTGAGTAGGTATCATTGTAAGTATTATTATAAAACCATTAAGAGCGAGACTGGTGTTATGTGCATATCAGTGCCCAGTTAGCCATCCATGTTCCCGAGATGTGCTGAAGCCATATTGCAAGAAAAAAAAAATAACTCAAGAGCATGTATCAGGGTTAATATTTGTACATCTTGATCATTTTAAGAGATCATTTGTTCGTACGCGTATTACACTGTTGGCTCGGCTGGACCGTGTGTCTATCGCTAGTCTCGTAAAAAGCTCCTACACAATCCGCTGCAATCTTTTATCCTGATTCACTTTAAATGTAAATAATACAATGTAAAGCACTGATCGCCCATTAGATGTTATTGCACTGCAATAGACAAGATTGTTGAGCAACAGACCATCAACAGAAGAACACTGTTCAATTGAACAATAGGCTGCGCTGATGACCAAGACGTTATCAGTTGAAGATAAGCTATGCATCAGCGATAGGCTATATCACAAACATTCACTTGTTATCAGCGACCTGGACGTTATCTCCTATGTCGAACGTCACCATGAAAATGATAGCATCTTTAATTACACTATTTTTATGACAAGCGCTTATTCTCATCATATCAATTATTAATTAAAGATAATAGTTTAATTTGGCCTCATAAAATTGAATTATCGCACCTACAGTTCGAAGTCGAAGATGCACAAAAAAAATTTTACGTGACTTGTGCTCTTCTCATAATTTACGTGCAAAATTTTCATACGAAAATATTATTAAGAGTCTCTTGCAGGCATGGAAAGGCCCTGAGTGCTGATGATGAGAGACGATGTCTCTTGCAGGCATGGAGAGGCCTGAGTGCTGATGATGAGAGACGATGTCTCATGCAGGCATGGAGAGGCCTGAGTGCAGATGATGAGAGACGATGTCTCTTGCAGGCATATGGAGAGGCCCGGGGGGCTGATGATGAGAGACGATGTCTCTCGCAGGCATGGAGAGGCCCGGGGTGCTGATGATGAGAGACCATGTCTCTTGCAGGCATGGAGAGGCCCTGAGTGCTGATGATGAGAGACGATGTCTCTTGCAGGCATGGAGAGGCCCGGGGTGCTGATGATGAGAGACCCTGTCTCTTGCAGGCATGGAGATCGAAAGGTGCAGTATAGTAATTAATGTGAATATTAGCTAACGACTTGTATTATTGAGGCGAAATATAGATTTGGCTGAAAATGAATGAACTAAATGCAGCTTGCATGGACGTTTACAGAGCATACAACTGGACGAACCTTGTACACTAGACATTTCTCTTCCGCAATTCGAATCTTCGGGATCACGGATGTTGTTATTGGTTCCTTATTCGGCTGAAGATGTGGAGCGCTATCATCTCGCTTATCATCAGCGTGTTTTATCATCTGTTCCTTGCGTTACCAGGATATCCTCGTCCCGTGGCTGTATTTACAAGCTTTCTTGGTCTAAGTTTGCGCTCGTTGGTCTTTTAGATTTGAAATAACTAATGTTCGCACAAGCACTGCACAGCAATTTCTTCCTAGTATGCAGAATTTTCGCATGCAACCAGCCAAATGCTACCTATTCCGCCCTCATTCACTTTGCATGTGTTTCTCGGTTGAGGCAATCTTCTCAAATGTGCATGCCGCTTCAAAATATAGCAGCTGTTTACCTCACTCAAACCCCGCGTCTGACGGCCTGAAGCCTCGTATATTATCGGCAAGGTTTGGCACTGCGGGAGCATCAGGGCTCGAGGACGCAGGAACCTACAGCCCATGCCTCCTTCTCTATCAAACAAATATTGGTCGACGTGAGCGTTTTTATCGTTGCAATCATGCTCGTCCTAACACTCTTAGGACATATGTTACGTTATATTGCAAGGCAATTTTACAATTCACTGACTAACAGCAAGAAGCTGCGACACATTTGAGGTAAAATGGTGCAAGGTTGAAGAGGCCCGCACGGCAGCTCAGTTACCACGACCTGGTGTCACCAAATTAAGCGAGGCTTGCGCAGCAGTTTACCCTCATAAGTAAAAATACCTGCTTTCTACAGCTTGTAGAAAGTCATGAGTATGTCAGCTGATCTGCAGTTTCATTTTACCTCAGTGGCAGCAGGTAAATTGCTTTATAATTTCATTGAGCTTTCTTCACCGTGGGTTAGTTGAGACCGACAGAGCTGCAGCCAATAGAGGGGAAGCTCCAGGCCTGCTTTGCTTACACAACATACGGACCTCATTTTCACGCAGCCTCAAACAATATTTAACTTTTTCCATTGCTATCAAATCAATGTATTCTTTATTATTCGCATATTGCCATTTTATTTCCAAATTCTGGTAGCTTATTCGCAGCCTTCTTTCGCACTGGTACTCTGAACTTTAACCACTGGGCCAACCTGCCACTTCCGAGATGCTGACGGTCCCCTCCTGAGTAACTGCTATGCTGAGGTGAAAAAAAAGCAATAGCTTTAAACTTACGCAAATTATTAATCAGATAATGAATTTGTTTAGCCTAGAACTGTATTTCACTGTATTACATTATTAACATTAGTTCATTACAACATTACAACCTTTTAAACCTACAAAAAATATTTTGATACCGGCTTTATTAGTTTATATAATTTTAAGAGGCTACTCAGAGGCCATATATGATATATGGAAAAATCTGAAAGTAGAAGGAAAGGCAGACTCCGACTTAAAGAGTAAATTAGGCTTGATGAAAAACTCTGTCCTTCTTATCAAGGTAGGAATATTTATTGAAGTATTCAATTAAAGCTAACGACCCTGAGGCTAAGGTGGTTACACCACAGAGAAAGGTGAAGCCCATATTAAGGCACAGTCTGCCTCTTAAGAAAAGTAAGAGAGAACATGCAATTTGAATTTTAATAATTGTAAAGATGATCACTCAAACAAAAAATAGAAGTTAATAAAGGTATAGATACAAAATAATAGACAGTCGTAGTACATCAAAGATAAAACTGTGCGTTAAGATACGAGTTTCATAACCAACTAACTTGTTTAAAGATGCATACCAATCGATAAATATGAAGAAAACGAACACAAAAATGAAAGAACACAAGAAATCAGGAAAAATTCAACATAGTAATACCCACAATTCATGGCTGCTAGAATTTTCTATGAACAGCATCCATGTCGAAAATTTTGAGGACAAACTAAAATAAAAATATTAATGGCACCTGTTATCCTGTTAGGCTGTTCAAATTGAATATATTCATATATGATTATTTCTCTCTGTTACATTACTTATTCAATCTATTATGATAATAATACATTAACTTGTACATATAATATTACATGTATCACATTCTTCCTAGTTTGCTACGATGTTTCAATTTATATCGTAGTGACGTAGTCAATCAAAAGAGAATCAATCAATTCCCTCTAAGCAGGAAGAGTAGATGCTGGTAAATTAGAGGCGCAATACAATTTTTCCCCAAATGATTTATGAATTGTATTATCATTTACCAAAAGTTAAAATGTTAAAAGTAATAAATTATTAATATCGTAATAAAATGATATTATCATGCAACGCAAGGGTTAAAAAAGATATTATTATGCTACGATAGTATGAGTTGTATTCGTTTAGGACGGGTAACACTGGCACAGACTTTGTCTGGCTAATTAGGCAGCGCAGAGATTCGTCTGGCTGTGATCATCACCCACACACAGTTGATCTGAAAATAATGGCGTTACGAAGGTATGAGAGATCTAACAACAAATATGATTGGAAATGAAAAATATTTAAACCCTTTAGCGGGCAAGCATTGAAATATCCAGAAATTAAAGTTTCAGAAACCAGTTCAAGTAAGTAAGAAGTACTATACGAAATATTTATTCCTATGTATTTTTTAAAAAATTGCATATTGGAGGTTTAAATCGCTCTAGAAGAATTTATTAAATGCGGTTGCTGCACAAAATATTTTCTTACTAATTAAAATTTAGCTATGCAAATGAAAAACTAATAACATAACAATTTAGTTTAATTCAATTTAATCAAGTTACCTTAAATAATTATATATCTATTGATACTTCCGCCTTTTGAAAAAAATGCGAATAGAGCGTCAATTTCACCGTCCGAGTCAAAGCCATCATTTAATTTGGTTAATTTGAAGGTAATGGCATGGAACGATGGTCAGATAATTAGTGATTGACTGAGGCATGATAAGGAAGCCTCACACACAACCAGAAGCTGTGGTGGGTCTCTTTGTGAGGCGATTTCAAGTGGCCATATATGGTAACTTGCTCGTGAAAGGGTTAATCAAACGAGATCTCTATAATGTATAATCGATCACAATATGAAAGTCACAATACTAATCCCACTAAAACTTACGTTTTCGCTTGGCTCTATATGTATGAATACTAAATGAGAAATTTTCCCATCGTTGAATTTCCTTCCCTACATATACTTTAAGCGTGCAAGTTTTATTGACGAATCGAGTGACATCTGCGTGCAAACAAATTACAAAGTAAATTAATATTTAAAAGATTATACGTATAACAAGATCAAGTTAACGCTAAATTAATTTTTCCAAATTCAATTTGAAAAAGTAAAACATGGATAGCGCAAATGTACCCTAACCGTCATTTGAGTCGGGAAAACGAATATTCAACCTGCGGGATGTGTTGGTTCATTGAATGATCCTAGAGTGTAGCTACGAGTACATGAAGAAAAAATACATTAAGAAAAATTAGTACTGAATAAATGAAAAATAAATCCTGTTTCACATGAAAAAGGCTTTGAATACGCGATTGCTCGTTCTTGTCTTATCAAAATTGATTTATGCAACTCAAACATACAATGCTAAAATTAATTGCTTATAAATTAGTACTGCAAGTGTTGTTAACAACTAAGTAAAACACCTCATTTCAAACAAGAACACATTCAGGACTTCAAACGAGTGTAAATATTCTGAACATGTTCCGCAACATACACCATAAATTTCCTTCAACCAGGTAAGTCGAAAGCCAACGTCGAACTAAAAAACCTGCAAATTATAATGAACTACAACAAAGTTGCTTACGACACACACACCAAGCGGATGGTTTATTCAAACAGAAACATCTAAAAACTTTAAATTAAAAAAATCTATATCACAAGGCGTTAAAATTGTAATTGCATCCAAGAATACATATCCTATCAAATGCTGTTATAATTGACCAAATTGCTGTGAATTACGCGCTGACTATTCTACACGCTGATCAATACTCAGCAACATATGTCAGGAGTGTGTCAATGTGTACTCTGCTACTCATATTACTCAGTAAGATGAGTCAAAGTTCGTTTTCATTCCCCAATTGATAACGACCAAATTTCCTGCATGTAGTTCTTTTATTTTTACATCGCATCTGCAAACAATAGGAAGCGTGCTCAGCTTACAGCGATTTGTGATCAACACTACAAGGGACATGCTGAGGGAGGCGGTGGTCAAGACAATAGGGGACATGCTGAGAGCGGCGGTGGTCAAGACAATAGGGGACATGCTGAGGACGGCGGTGGTCAAGACAATAGGGGACATGCTGAGGGCGGCGGTGGTCAAGACAATAGGGGACATGCTGAGGGCGGCGGTGGTCAAGACAATAGGGGACATGCTGAGGGCGGCGGTGGTCAAGACAATAGGGGACATGCTGAGGGCGGCGGTGGTCAAGACAATAGGGGACATGCTGAGGGCGGCGGTGGTCAAGACAATAGGGGACATGCTGAGGGCGGCGGTGGTCAAGACAATAGGGGACATGCTGAGGGCGGCGGTGGTCAAGACAATAGGGGACATGCTGAGGGCGGCGGTGGTCAAGACAATAGGGGACATGCTGAGGGCGGCGGTGGTCAAGACAATAGGGGACATGCTGAGGGCGGCGGTGGTCAAGACAATAGGGGACATGCTGAGGGCGGCGGTGGTCAAGACAATAGGGGACATGCTGAGGGCGGCGGTGGTCAAGACAATAGGGGACATGCTGAGGGCGGCAGTGGTCAAGACAACAAGGGACATGCTGAGGGCGGCAGTCAAGACAATAGGGGACATGCTGAGGGCGGCGGCGGTCAATACATTAAGGGACATGCTGAGGGCGGCCGTGGTCAAGACAATAGGGGACATGCTGAATGCTGTATCGCGCATCATGGCCGCACACGTGAGACAGCATTTATTCTCACTGATTATGCTGTAGCGTCGGGCGTGCTGGGGGCCACAAACCCTGACACTCGTGAGCTAAAACATGAGCTTGACTTCACCTGAAACTGCAGGTATAATTTTGCTCTCTATTTACCTTGTCTGATTTCCGTGCCCTTCCTCAAGTTTGCGGGTATAAGATCGAGCGTTACTTGGTGTCATTATGTCGCTTATTATTTCCATCGAAGACCTACAAATAGCATTAGACGAAATCAAGCGCATTGGAATCAAACGAAATATTTCATTTACTACTGATTAGCAATAAATTATTGATAATGATAAAAAACATTTTCGTCTTTCTAACGAGCATTTCATGCTTAATTTTATTTAATTCGCTGGGCCGTCACGAGAATTTATACATGTCGCCATTATAATACATTTCCATTGAGAAAACTTCGACGCGAAACGGCTAGAGAAAATATCGCCACGGGATGGCAGGGTGGTTAAGAGTTCCTAGATTGGAATAGAGAGTTGTGGGTTCGAACCCAAGCTAGCAGTGAAAATTTATCGCCGTGTGGAGTCGGCGACAAGCCGCACTTGACCTAGTCCTCAACGCCTGTACTATTACAACTAACGAAATACATATATTACACATGGCACGATATTTTGTCATATTGTGTTATATACATCATGTTATATTGTGCCTTTCAGCAGACGATACATTAATGCGCATTACATTACATAGTACGTCTTAGCACACATGTGTGCCAGAACGTCATCGACGCTTCGGTAAAATCAGTACATAGTTGACACTTCACGTTCAGCCTAACGTGGTAACGCGGTAACCTTGACACCTGACGCTCAGTCTAACGTGGTAACGCGGTAACCTTGACACTTCACGTTCATTCTAACGTGGTAACGCGGTAACCTTGATACCTGACGCTCAGTCTAACGTGGTAACACGGTAACATTAACACCTGACGTTCAGTCTAACGTGGTAACGCGGTAACATTAACACCTGACGCTCAGTCTAACGTGGTAACGCGGTAACATTCAGTCGTACGTGGTAACGCGGTAACCATGACACCTGACGTTCAGTCTAACGTGGTAACGCGGTAACATTCAGTCGTACGTGGTAACGCGGTAACCATGACACCTGACGTTCAGTCTAACGTGGTAACGCGGTAACCTTAACACCTGACGCTCAGTCTAACGTCTGTCTCTTATACACATCTAGATGTGTATAAGAGACAGAGTCAAGACAATAAGGGACATGCTTAGGGCGGCGGTGGTCAAGACAATAGGGGACATGCTGAGGGCGACGGTNAGGCTGCCTGCACGTTGCACCGTGGCCCGCGCGTTGCAAAGCTGTCCGCATGCAGCATCTTGGCCCGCGCGACGCCAGTGGTCCAGACTCCAGGCCCCGGCCTTCAGTTGCGTTGTCGGCGGCGTGTTGGGAGGTTGTACGTATCGAAGCTTAGCTGCAGCAGGAACCTCTCGCGTCTCATGGACTAGATTAGAGGGTAGATGTGTTAATAGTAGAGTTAACTAGAAGGTAGACGTGTTAATAGTAAAGTTTCCTAGAGGGTAGACGTGTGTAATGAAGACTATACTTCATCGGGTTCGTTTCACTCACGCGAGTACTCCGAACATTAACGAACACGAACAATTTGCCTAAATCAGAACAAGAGGCTAAATTTACATTAAAAGGCAATACAAAACACGAAACAATTTGGCACCTTAGCTGTTAACTGTAACGCTTCTAACGATAGATCCGCGATTGGTGAACGCGTGAGAGTGAGCAGTCGGTCCACGTGGTGAACGCGTGAGAGTGAGCAGTCGGTCCACGTGGTGAACGCGTGAGTACGAAAAGCTGCGAGGACGAGCTTAAATAGTACAACCTGGAGTCCAGCCCACGCGAGATCTGCAACCCTACACATTGAAAATAATATAATACTGCAGAACCAATCGCACTGAGACCAATCGCACGTTAATAATGGAATCGCAATATTACCACTCAATAGCTGCTGATTATCAAATATGCACAACAGATTTTATTATATAGCTTAATTTGATTGACTGGAACATCTTGCCATTAAAGGCAAGGAAAGTTGACCAGAAACCAAAGTAAGTGACGGCGTAATGGTTATTGTCAAAAATGCCCAGAAACTGATTTTAACGCAGCCAAGTAAGTGGAGCATGATCGGTTTGAATTACAAACTTACTACCATTCAAATAATCGTGAAAATATCATACAGCCCACTTATTAGATAAAAATTATACTTCAATTACTGAATTACAGAGTAATTACTCTCAGCTTTCGATACATTTTGACTAATGAAGTACACAGGTTTAAAGTTACCATCAACAATTTGTCCCATGACAGCACCCAAATCATGCAGACAAGCATCTGTTTACACAACAAAAGGTACATCAGGTTTCGGTATCGTGAGGATCACGTCTTGCGACATTAAGTTTAGCGAGACATGATCGTAAACATTTACTATTCTTATCAGTCCATGCTAGCTTATCAGGGCATGCTTTATTCAACATTTCCGTCAATAATACCGTATGTTGAGCTAAGTTAGGCACAAATCTCCGATAGAAATTCAGGAACCCGAGATATAATCTCAACTCTTTCATATGCTCAGGCTCTAGAAAATTCTTAAGCGCATCCACCTTAGTAGGATCTGGTCTGATTTCACCTTGACCGATAATAAATCTTAAGAATTTCACAGCAGTTTGCGAAAATTACATTTGCGCAAATTTGTCCGGGAGGCACGTTTATGCTCCTCCAGATTTATTATATATTTCTACCTGAATCTGAGGACAGGGTACTAGAGACGCAGTGAACTGGCAGTGACGCAGTGAACTAACAGTGACGCAGTGACGCAGTGAACGGGCAGTGATGCAGTGAACTTGCAGTGACGCAGTGAACTTGCAGAGACGCAGTGAACTTGCAGTGACGCAGTGAACTTGCAGTGACGCAGTGAACTTGCAGTGACGCAGTGAACTGACAGTGACGCAGTGAAGCGGCAGTGACGCAGTGAAGCGGCAGTGACACAAGCAGTGATTCAGCCCCAGGATGACACGGCTGAAGTTGCTGTGCATGATTGCTGTGCTGTGGCGGAGCACAGCATGGGCAGGAGACCAGCCTCTTCCAGAGGCACTGAGGCACAGCTACCCCACACAGAGGCAGGGTGAGGCAGGGTGGTCATGAGGCAGGGTGGGTTATGAGGCAGAGTGGGTTATGAGGCAGAGTGGGTTATGATACTCTCGCAGTGGCCTCCCACTCACAATTTGCTTGTTCTTTAATCAGTATATATTGCCTATATCTGTACCACTAATTACATTCATTTTGCGCTAGATTTACTGTCAAGTGGCGCTTAATTTTTGATTGAATGTCTTCTAAGCCACTTCGTACTGAGGGAACGCGGTACTCTTTCCAATGGTGAATAAATTATGCATTTTCAATTTGTACTTAAATAACTACGAATTTACAATTCGTATTTATTTCGACCCGGTACAATGTCCTTAACAATAGCGACATGCATTATAGATCACCATTACCTACAGCTAGCAACCACCACCTGCAACCATCACCTGCAACCACCACCTGCAACCACCACCTGCAACCACCACCTGCAACCACCACCTGCAACCACCACCTGCAACCACCACCTGCAACCACCACCTGCAACCACCACCTGCAACCACCACCTGCAACCACCACCTGCAACCACCACCTGCAACCACCACCTGCAACCACCACCTGCAACCACCACCTGCAACCACCACCTGCAACCACCACCTGCAACCACCACCTGCAACCACCACCTGCAACCACCACCTGCAACCACCACCTGCAACCACCACCTGCAACCACCACCTGCAACCACCACCTGCAACCACCACCTGCAACCACCACCTGCAACCACCACCTGCAACCACCACCTGCAACTACCAATTTTTAATCAGCCTATATATGCGCTCACTAAGCCAGGCTGTACTTGCACAGCGTCAAACAATGGCGCGGTCGCTGCACCGTAGGACGGAGTTCACGCAACACAGCGACGGCAGCGCACAGCATTGTTGTACAGCGGCGGCAGCGCACAGCATTGTTGCACAGCGACGGCAGCGCACAGCATTGTTGCACAGCGACGGCAGCGCACAGCATTGTTGCACAGCGACGGCAGCGCACAGCATTGTTGCACAGCGACGGCAGCGCACAGCATTGTTGCACAGCGACGGCAGCGCACAGCATTGTTGCACAGCGGCGGCAGTGCACAGCATTGTTGTACAGCGGCGGCAGTGCACAGCATTGTTGCACAGCGGCGGCAGCGCACAGCATTGATGCACAGATCACTAGTCTGGGTGGTGTAGATTTTTTTTCTCGTATCTCGCTGTCTTTGGTCTCGCGTGTCTCGCCCTCTGTCGTGAGAGGTCGTCTTGTCTCCGCACGATGTTTTTTGCACAATTATCGACCACTGGCCACTAGATATTGCGCGACCACCGATCAGCTGGACATAATTGATGCGAGTAGCTCTGTATTCGTACGTTTGAACTTAACAGCCCAATCGTACGTCAAAACATAAGGACATTGTATACAAATAGTTGAGTTCTTGTAATGTTACGGTGAGCCAAAATTTCTTAGAGGTTGTATAGTTAGTTCATATACCTATGAGAATTTTAAAAAAGATGTCCACACTTAGGTTATGATTTTAAATCAGGGCTCAAGCCAAGCGGTTGGCTGGTTTAGCTAATTTAGGTACATGGATGTGATTAGTTAACGCTTAAAACACTCCTTCTGTTTCAAGCGGAAATAATATCCAAAGTTACTCATATTTTGTACAATATCAATAAGATATTCCCGACGTTGCAGATAAGAAGTTCTGGGAGGCGAAGGCTCAGCAGGACCTCCACGATATCCTGACGCGGGAGCGCAACCTCAACCCAGCCAAGAACGTCGTCCTGTTCCTGGGGGACGGCATGGGACTGCCGTCCATCACCGCCGCCAGGATCTACAAAGGGCAATACAGGGGCGCCGTGTCGGGGGAGGAGCAGCAGCTCGTCTTCGAAACTTTTCCCAGCGTATCGCTCGCTAAGGTAGGCCTAAGCCAGCCAAAACACGATCTCTTCTGCATGGGGTGAGCCTTATTAATCGAAAACACGGCCTCATGCGAGGTATGCCTGTGGCACAAAACCACGGTTTCTTCTAAGGTAATTATAAACCGGCCCCAAAACGGTTGTCTCAGCTTGTAATAATACGAGCGAATAAAAAGAAGTGCCCTTTCAAGCGAATACCAACGGATTCTCTTGAAACTCAGGAAATAATATTTCTGGCCAGAACCCGTGGCCTCATCTTGCTATTCACTCGTATATCAGGCAAAAATTGTCTAATTACTATTTATTGCTAGGTTTTTGTTCAAAATTGGGAAGTGCATTTTTAATTATGTGGCATGCACGTCCCTGTACAGACTTACTGCGTGGACAAACAAGTGCCGGACAGCGCGTGCACCGCCACAGCCTTCCTCTGTGGGGTTAAAACAAATTACGAGGTCCTTGGGGCGGACGCTGGGGTGATCCCGGGTAACTGCACAACCCTCACTGACGACAATAAACTCTCTTCACTGGCAAGTCTCGCTCTGGATGCTGGGAAGAGGGCAGGTCAGTCTCACTTTCGTGAACGAAAATCGTTTAATTTTTTCAATTGATTCAAACTTGGATTTGGTTGTAAGCGGGTAAATAGCGGAAGGTTATTCTAAGAGAAATGAGAAGTTCTGCTGTGATCGACCCGATCAGTCACTTCGGACCTTTCAACGGACCTTCACGTTCAGGATCAGCGAGATGAGTCACCTGGACTTCTGAGTCAGGTTGTGGCATCTGTGACTACTCACTGGGAATGAGAAGAAAGAGAGAGGTACATCATACTGTACATTTGAAAGATGATGACCGGACTAGATCCAAACTTTGGAAGCGAGACCTTCAAGATAGAGACACATTTCATTGAAAGTAGGAGGAGACTATGCACTGTGCAGGATACCCCCACTTAACTACCGAGCGGCGGCCAGAGTTCAGAATCTTCGGGAGAGATCTCTTTTCGCGGCAGGACCGTGGCTGTTCAAAACCTTGTCTAAGGAACTGGAAGGATGGGACTTCACCCTTAAGACATTCAAGAGACGACTGGATGCGTTTTTGAGCACGACCCCGTTTTGTCCATCTGTGTCCCACTACCCTCAGCCAGTAGCAAGCAATAGCAGTTTGCATCAGCTGTTCTAACTTGGGGCAGATGCACGGTAGTCGAGTCCAATGTTATATCCGGGCCCCGTTGACAATGATCGTGAGTCGGTCGTTCAATGATCACACGTCGTTAGCGGCTTAATTGAAGACCCGTGTTTTACCGGGGCTGATATAGGTATGTCTTTCTTTACTTGATGTGGACTTATGTTGCACTTGTGATGGATTTACGCTTCACTTACACCGCACATGCACAAAACTTACGCTGCGCAAGTGCCTAACATACGCTACTCGTGCGCCTAACTTACCCGCTCTTCGGCCAGGTTTCGTGACGAGTACGCGCGTGACGCACGCAACGCCGGCCGCGCTGTACGCGCACATTGCGCACCGCGACTGGGAGTGCGACGAGAAGCTGACGACGGCGCGTGACGAATGCCCCGACGTGAAGGATATCGCCATGCAGCTCGTCGAGGACGACCCTGGCAGGAGGTTGCATGTTAGTCATGGTTGCAGCCTTTAGCGTTACTTCTTTAGAATAAAATAATTGCAGGAATAAATATCAAATATATAGTTATGGGAAGAATATTTTATTTAATAAATTCAACATCCACGCTAATAACTGTCGGGAGTGCAGGTGATCATGGGCGGGGGGCGCCAGTACCTGAGCGCCGCCGCCACCGGCGGACCCGGTGACCCCATCGGGCCCAAGGACTGCCGGCGCCAGGACGGCAGGAACCTCATGGAAGAGTGGCTGGTAAGGGGGAGGCTGATCAGGGAGTGGCTGAGTGGCTTGTCAGGGAGTGGCTAGTTAGGTAGTGGCTGAGTTGTTGGTCAGGGAGTAGCTGAGTGGCTGACCAGGGCGTGGCTAATCAAGGAGTGGCTGAGTACCGCTGGTCAGGGCTTAGCTAAGTGGCTCACTTCAGCAGCCGTCCCCTCACTTTAGCGGCCGCCCCCTCACTGTAGCGGCCGTTTCTTCACTATAGTGACTGTCCCCCTCACTGCACGTTGGTTTCCGCCCAGGATCGGCACGAGCGAGATGGGAAGAGAGCGGCGATCGTCCAAAGCCACAGCGCCCTCAGTAACCTCAGCACCGATGGTCTGCAACACCTTATGGGTGAGAGTATTCCCTCAATATCACAACAAATTCTTTTAGCGGGTAGGACTAGCTTCTTCCCCAGCTCAACAAATAATTGTTCCAAATGTGTTGTGACTCTAGCTACTACCCCAGCACAAAAATAACTGCTCTCAACTTGTGTGAATAGTAACTCCCGCATCTCAGGAAATAATTGTTCCCAACGGGTGAGATTAGCAATTCCCCCAGCACAAAAATAACTGCTGCCAACGGGTGTGGTTAGAAACTCCCCATCTTAACAAATAACTGCTCCCAACGGGTGGGACTAGCTCTCCGCCAGCACAAAAATAAATGCTCCCACGGGTTAGACTCGATGGTTTGGTAGCAGAAAGAGTAACTATATAGTTCGTCGGCCGCAGGTATCTTCGCGAACGGCCACGTGCCTTACGAGCACGAGAAGGTCCTGCAGAGCTTGGACCTGCCGACGCTGGCACAGATGACGCGGAAGGCCATCGAGGTGCTGCAGCAGGGAGACAAGGGCTTCTTTCTCCTGGTATTACGAGCCTCCGGAGTTGTCATATTCCCTCACAAGAATAATGTTGTTGATCCATGTTGACCAATAATTCAAATATGCAGCGTATTTGTATTAGCGACAGAATATCATCTCCTATACTAGCAAGACTGTGAGTTAGTTGAAAAGACGAGGGCATTTGCGTGACGATCTCCTGCTTACGAGATCGCATCATTAATCCTAACGTACCGTACATAATCTAACCTAATTAATCTAACCTTATTTGAACTAATAATTCTTGACCAAACCTATCGTAGCCCTAATAAATACCCATGAACTAGCACTTCTGATGACAAACCAAGCGCAACCAATCGTCCTAATTTAACCTGACCTAACTTAACCGGGTAAGTCACCCTAACCTCACTCACACTAACCTAGCCTATCTAAACGTAACCCAGCTTGCCAAAACTCCATTCCTTCAATCTTAATCAACCTTGCCAGACTTATGTCACCTAACACCCCTCCAAACCAACCTAACGAAGCCCACCTGAACCTCACCCTCGACATCGTGTCAGGTCGAGGGAGGCCGCATCGACCACGGCCACCACGACAACAAGGCGAGACTGGCGCTGGACGAGTTGCTTGCCTTTGACGACGCCGTGCAGGTGGCGCTCGACATGCTCGACACCAGCGTGAGTCACGACCTTAAAAACTCACTCAGGTACCCGGTAACGGAGTTTCGATTTGGACGTCACCTCTGACAGCTATCGACAGCCAAAGAATAGCGACGTCGCAGAGTTTCGTAGCTTGCAGGAGCTATCGCCCCACCCTATGAGCCTTGATCTCGGTGCAGCTTGACCATTCGAGCAAATTCAAATATAAAAATTACACACGCTTGACACCAGCGTTAGTCGTTACTCAGTGATCGCGTTGGGTAATGCGAAGTGTTTGTGCGGTTATAGGAAGCGAAAAGTGTTTTTATGCAGAGGTAATGCGAAATGTTTGTGTTTGTGTGGTGCAGGAGACGCTGGTGGTGGTAACGGCGGACCACAGCCATGTGATGACCATGAACGGCTACCCTCCTCGAGGGCAGAGCATCACAAGTGAGTTCACCATATTCTGTAGTGTCAGTGTTCGTAGATTCTTCATGATGTATTCGTATCATGAGTTCATGCTTTTCACGAGTTCCAGTTCAATATTTGGAATTGTCTATTCGAGCAGTGCGGGGGTCACCTGCGCGTAAAATGTATCAAGAGTAATATGTGCAGGGTGCGCTGTATGAGAGTTATGGAAAGCAACGAAACCCATTAGGTGTGTTGTGGGCCTTTGCCGTTAAGAGCAACGCCCGCAGCCTTCACCCAATCACTTGTTTCCGGTAACATTTGAACTTGAAGCGAGCTGTATTTCAGGCTTCGCCTCTATGGGCGACGACTTGCTGCCATACACAACCCTGATGTACACCAACGGCCCGGGCTTCAACTTCTCAGTGGTGAACAACACCGCAGCCCGCTTCGACGTCTCCAAGGACGACGTCAGCAGCTTCAACTACACGCAGCTCAGCTCCGTCTTAATGAAGTCGGAGACTCACGGTGGAGAAGACGTAGCGGTTTATGCTATTGGTAAGAGTTCACATGTTACATTTTTTGAAATACTTGTAACGTGTGTTTTGTGTATATACCTGCGACATTTCGTCTCAAATGTCTTCTTTAAATCTCGGTGGTAGCCAAGTGTCGATTTATAGTTGTCTATTTATAGTTATATTGGCTAGTAAGAATATGCAATCGTTCATGGCAGGTCCGATGTCGCACTTGTTCGAAGGCGTGCACGAACAGAACTACATAGCGCATGCCGTGGCGTACGCCGCGTGTGTGGGTGCGAACAAGGCACACTGTCAGAGCGCTGCTTCACCCACTGTCGTCCCCCACTTGGTACTGATCCTGTCGCTGGGCGGCCTGCTCAGAGGTGTCTAATGTTGCAGTCACCCGGAGCGTTATTCACCGCAAAAATAACAGCAGGAAGACTCAACACATTTATTTGCTCAACATTTCACCGAACTGCATAACATCTACGGATACCTACGCATCACGTACGCGTCGACGGGGAGTGTCGTCTACCGGCGCTGGCTGACGCCTTCCGGCGACGCATGCCGGGCCTTAGCTCGGCATGCGTCACATACACCTAACATTTACGGCGCCGTAGGCTAGCATGTCATGTAAACGCAACATTCACTCCACATCACCATATTACCTTACTATTACTCATAGTTGAAATTAGCAACAAAAACACTAAATAAGTTACAAATGAAATCCTACTCGTACAGAGTGACCTAAATAGTACAGTATTATAATGAAATATATATAGATCGGAGTGAAAAGAAACTGATGCAAATGGCTGTTCAGAATGTTAATAAACGCGATGGGATCAAAAATAGGAGACGTACGGCTGTTCAGGTTCAACAGAACCGATGTAGTCAAACTCCCGACTACTATCGTAGTTGACATACGGTATGCCGTTCGTGCCTTGGTCTACTAGTAACCTAAATAGCTAGCCCGTGGTTGTAAATAACGGTGGTTGTAATAACTTCAGTGGTTGTAAAACGTACGACCTAGTCATGCACCACTGGACTCTCTTGGTAGTGCTTATTTAAGTGGAAACCTTAGGAGAAAATTTAAGTAACAGTCGGAAATAGGAACAAATTTTGTGAAGTTTCTCATAACATAACATAACATAACATAACATAGTGATGTCGGCTCTGAAGTGTAGGCCTGATGTGGCCTGTCGCCGATTCTTTTCCATTTCGTGCCTTGTTCATAGATCTAAACTCGTGTCATTTGACCGGATCTTTTCATGACTGGCGATAGTTTGAAGAAGCTACTAGACTTCCACCGGGTTCGATAAGACATGACCTCTCTGAAGCCTGTCTCACATGGCATGACCTCTGAAGCCTGTCTCACATAGCATGACCTTTCTGAAGCCTGTCTCGCGTGTCATGACCTCTCTGAAGCCTGTCTCACGTAGCATTACCTCTCTGAAGCCTGTCTCACGTGGCGTGACCTCTCTGAAGCCTGTCTCGCGACCTTTGCTTACGGATAATTTTATGCAAGAATAAAACTTTTCGCCGAACCGGCCCACAACCGAGGATATTGTCAGATTTTATTTTGCGTGTCTTGAAGAGCGCGGCACGTAAAGCTCACTATTCACTATTGTATAACTGCAAGGTAAATGAAAAAATCTTTACCTGTAAAATATATTCGAACATCCGCACAAGATAAACGAGAAAAAAACGCAACTAGTTCCACACGCCACATAGCAGAGCACGAGGTATGACACGCCACATGGCAGCATATCGCGCAGTGACACATGCCACATCGCGTGGTGCCACATGGAAGCATGACGCGTGATGCCACAGCACACAACGTCTTATTGCGTGATGCCTCTACAAACGCATCAAATGTCTGCACTCAAACTCGACATAGTGATGAGTGCCTGAAATTTAAGTAAAATGATTGCACGAAGCAATCAACTTCCATATTTACTTCACTTGAACGACGGTGCGCATGACCGAAGCGATCGTTTTAGCATAAAATATTCCTGTTGTTACCTGACGTCCTAGCTCGGCCAGTCTATTGCAAACTTACCTCGTATTTGAAATACTCGAAACATTTGAATTGGATGCAACTTTTGAGAGTAATTTTGTATTTATTGAAGCACTGCCGAGTTTAAAACATCCACCGCACAGAGAGCATTTGCTTATAAAAGCTAAACTCACACGAGTGTCGGTATAATAGGTACTACATCTGTTAATAAAAACATAATTCTCATATACATAGTTACATCATAGTCATCACCATTGGAGATAACAGGATGATAGAAACTAACACTGCAAGGTGGTTGCAGCAAGCATATCCTGGTAGACAGAAGCTGCGGGGCTGGGCACACGACGAGGTCACCCGAGGCAGCGGTAGCACGCGGTCATGTTGTCTTCATGAAGAAAACTGCACGAGAAACAATACATTAGAACCATGCCTACCATGACTGCGAGCAGTGAAGGGTACAGGAACAATAGAAGGCATGATGACCCATGTAAAAGTACCATACGCACATGATATTCAACGAGTGGTGGAGCAAAAACAGTTTAGGTACGTGGGTGGTGGTGCAGCAACAGTGTATGTAGCTGAGTGGTGGTGCAGCAACAGTGTATGTAGCAGAGTGGTGGTGCAGCAACAGTGTATGTAGCTGAGTGATGGTGCAGCAACAGTGTAGGTGAGTAATAAAAAAATGAGTTACTGAGTCACATGCTAATAGCAAAAACACAGCAGATTTTGTGTAAGAAAACGTGACGTCCTGTAGCTTCTGCACTGACTCAAAATTGATCAAGTTATTATGTCAAAGTCTAACCAATCAAGTTTTTTATTTGAAGCGAAAAAGTTTGCACAGCCTCCAGTTAGGAGGAAAAGCACTTGCCTGTTCATTCTGCATTCACGACAGAAGAACTTTTTACATTTGTAACAGATCCTGAGGCAGTCGTGGCAAAAATTCTTGCTACAGTCGGAGCAGGACTGCAGCGCCTTGCCACAGCTGCAGCTGCACCGGTCCTGCAGGATCAGGGTAGCAGTAATGGCTTAAGTTATCAATCCCATAGAGCCCAGTCTATGGCTAAGGCTTCTATGAACACAATTTTTTTGATAATTTTTCACAATTATGCTTATATGCCACAGGAGCACATCAACCATCTAAATGTTTTTTTTTTAAATTGGAAAGGGGTTAACTAATCCAACCAGCTTGTTAGTGGTAATGCAGTTAAACAAAATTATTATTGTATATTTTCTAGGTCCTTTGTATTGGGTACAAACAATGACAACATAGGCTCGATAATTTAAACATTTCAAACATGATCAGAACTCTACCTTCAAATAGAACCAAAACAAAGCTTGAATGACAATAGCACTCAAATAATTACTTCAATGGAGCATGGTTATGACACACACTTCAGATTAGACTAAATCAAGCCATGACCAGAATGTCAAGACACTAAAAATATTGATAGTTATGCAAAATCTCATCACAAATAAAAAACTTTAATAGTTTTCTTAGCAGAATTTCACTGGGTAGTCTCCATGATCAAGCATTAGCACTAGCAGGACCCAAAATTTGGGCATCTTTACCCATAGATAACAACCTGCAGGGAACCCTCCATATATAGGTACCTATAGCACTAGTCTCAAAATGACCAAAAAATCAAAGGACTTGCTGGAAGGATGGAAACCGTAAAATATCTATAGTAAGCCATACTTAATTCTTCCAATTTTTGCACAAAGGTCAATTAGAGCTACAACTGCAAGAGGCATTCTCACCATAATAGATTTTGGAGAAGTAGACAGTGCAAAGGCTCGAGATAAGCCACCCCTGCTGTCAATGGTCAGCTGATGTTGCAGAAAGCTGGCTGCCACAACAGGCTTATCATTCACAGCATGGAAAGCTTCAGACTCTGCAGTTCCTGCTTCATTGCACTTGGAGGTGACGTGGGGACATTCATCAGTCAATTCCCTTGAACAAGACAAGTCATGCTTGGACTGCACTATCTTGGGAATACCAGTAAAGTAACTGGTGATGCTTCTCTGAGAACTGTCTTGGAAGTCAATTTCATTTTCTGCTGATAATTCTGTGCTGCTTAAAGATTCTGAAATAGATGCTGATTGAATTTGAGAGTTGCTCATCCAGAAGTTTCTGCTGCCACTGAAGAGACGATCCAGTGTTCGATCTGAAACAAGAATAAAATAATATACGTTTAAAAATTACTTTTTAAAGACAACACTTCCAAAGAATCCAGTATCTTCAATCTTACAGATGTACAATGAATTTCTCATCTAATTTTCGAAAATTAAAAAAATTTATTTTTACATTTTTTAATAGGTATATATAATTTTTTTAATATATAAATTTTTTCAAAATTATTTATTCTCTTAATTGATTCATGCATTGCCTCTGACTTCACACAAGTGTGCAAAATTTCAGATCAATCAGACAGGTAAAAGTGTGCCAGATATCAGTTATAAGATTTGTAGCTGACAAAATTATTTTATCAATTTTTTTATACTTGAAAAAAAAAATTTTTATTTTTTAAAATCTTTTATTTTGACATTTGATTCATGCATTGTCTCCAACTTTACACAAGTGTGCCAAATTTCAGATCGATTGGAAAGGTAGAAGTGTGTTAAATATCGATTATAAGATTTGTAGCAGACAGACAGACAGACAGACAAGAAGTGAAGTTAAAGAGAAGTGTTGTAATTAGCAGGGCATCCTTGCTATCCGTAGACTGAAGCTAGTCATTTTCTGGGCATACGTGCTATCTGTAGGCTGAAGGTAGGAAATACAAGGACCTCCATGCTATCAGTAGAAAATATGTACATATAAAAAACTTCATGGTTTATTAAATGAAGAATATTTTGATTGCACAAAGTAGGGCTCACAAAAGGTGCTGCATGAGTGACTCCTAAGGAGACTGAATATTTCCTAGTTTCTTACTTAAAATTGAAATCTTGTGGCTCCCAAGTGTCATTCTTGATAATTTTTTAATTTAATGGCTCATTCATGCAATTTTGTTAACAAATATATAGGAGATGGATAATAACTTGTGCAAAATTTTTTATAAAAAACAGAGGTGTATTTATGCAAGATCAATCTGGGAAATTTGAAGTGCCATTCCCAAAATTCTACCAAGACAAGCAAGTGTAGTGACCATCTGGGACAATATAATGTAAGAAAAAGCAAGCTAAAGTGGCTACAATCTACTGTAGGTATCTAAACTATGGGCAATGATGCATGTAGTTCCGATTGCAGCATGTAGATTGATATTGCGCATTGGTCATTTCAATAGTAAATTGCAATTCATGGAGAATCATAATTGGCAAACGCCCTCCAGTGGCATCTATCTCAAACATACATTGGCATCATGGTGCAATGAATTCTGCGTCCTTGACCTATATTGTGCCACACTCGACAGCCTGGACTGTGATTGATTGTGATATTATCCACTCCAGTCTCCAAATGTGAATGGTTGGTGGCAATGGTGGGATTGTGATGCCATGATGCCATCCACTCAGACCACTTGACTGACTTTCATTTGGTTGCAAATGTGGTGTCAAGGCAGATACTTTCTTATACACTTTGAATTCAATTTTTAAGTCCTATAAGTAAACCAGTAAAGTATTATGGATACAGGATACCAGCATTATCATACGCAAGAAATTGGTTTAAATCTTGAGTAGATGAAAAATTAAATAAAACTGGTTCCAATATTCTGTGGCCTGTCAGATTGTGGTGTCATCTGCTCCAGACTGCAATTATTTATTTGATGGCCTATCAAATATGCTATGTTTACAGGTTAATTTAATACCCCCCTAGAATTTCAAACTGTTTAGTTTTTCCTGAAGAAATTTGTTACAAGACAAATTTGGAAGATCATCATATAGGGCAGAAGTTTCGTAAAATTGAGAGCGAAAACGTTTGTTTTGCAAATGATCTAAGAAAATTGCAGATAAAATTGTATTTTTTCGTAGAAAAATAATCAATTTAGCAAAGTGTTATAGAAAAGGATAAAATTTGCCAGATTCATCATACAGGGGCATTTTTACCCAATTCTCTGGTGGCTATTGTCCAATTTCCCAGTTAGGCCCTAGGGAGTTAGGGTTTGAAGTAAAATTTTCAAAAATAGTAGGCAAAAATATGCCTGTTCCTAATTTAGGCAAAGGCTTAAAATTAATTAGGCAAAGGCTGTAGGAATGAGTGAAATCAAGTAATTAATGGACTGCAAGCAGGAAGAATAGTGCTAGTGGTAAAGCAGAGACTTTTTTAGACTCTTCCTGCAGTTTATTTCTGAGCTCTATAAGTAAAGTACCGTAAAATGGGGTAGGGTAAACGCGGTATATTCCGACATCGTAGGTAATTCCGTCACCTCTCTAGCTTTTCCTTTATATTAAGCTTTGTTTTAGTTCCATGCGTTCATTGATGGTTGAAATGGTGACGTCATACA